TGTCCTGACATTATTTGTCGATGTATGTATTTCATTTTTGTACCAATGTGCTCGCAATAGAATGTTCTATAAGAACATAAGTATTAAAGGTCACATAAGGATGCGTTCGACCGGCAACATATATAAAAACTACGTCGATTATACTCGTCGTGTCAATAATACAATTGTTTTACCACGATGATTCACTGCCACGCCGTTTTCTTTATTAAGCTGTTCGGCTATTAGAGAAAACAAACATTTAATGGCAAACATTTGTAAACTATTCCCAAAGTTGATCGGATAATAAATGGATTTTATACAAATATTTTTGCTCGTGACTCCCGAGAGGGGCCCCCGTGCGGTGTGATTAATAATATTGGTGACAACGACGGTCTGCAGGAATGCGCAAAAGTGTTTAAAAACTGCAGGGGGGTTTGGGCAAAATATGACCCATCGTCGTTTTCAGTAATTGGCATATTTTCGGTATGAAAAGTCGTAATTTGAAACTGAAAATAGGTGCAGAGAGTCAGAATTCGGCTCAAAAATCACGCTCAGGAGTCAAATTTCCGACATTTCAGACATTTTGAAAACTGCAGGGGGGTTTGGGCAAAATATGACCCATCGCAGTTTTCAGTAATTGGCATATTTTCGGTATAAAAAGTCGTAATTTGAAACTGAAAATAGGTGCAGAGAGTCAGAATTTGGATAAAAAATCACGCTCAGGAGTCAAATTTCCGACATTTCGGACATTTTAAAAACTGCAGGGGGGTTTAGGCAAAATATGACCCATTGCCGTTTACAGTAATTGGCATATTTTCGGTATGAAACGTCGTAATTTGAAAATGAAAATAGGTGCAGAGAGTCAGAATTCGGCTCAAAAATCACGCTCAGGAGTCAAATTTCCGACATTTCAGACATTTTAATTAATTAACACTTTCACGCTCTCCGCGCTCAAAAAAAAATCATACCCCAGATGCTTTCGGCGCTTCGCGCGCCTATGCGGTAAGACCGAAAAAGTGTACACTCTTTTGACTGTCCTGACAATAATTGAAGGCGCACGTATTTAAATTTGGTATCACTGTGTTCGCAATAAAATTGTCTATAAGAACATATCTATAAAATGCCGCCAAAGCATAAGGATTATCAACACTAAATAAAAAACTATTCAGATCACTAGCCGAGAGCGCCAAACAGCAACAAAATGTTTCCACTCTCTTAATGGTTGCGAAGCCTACTGTTGTCCTACTTCGCTAATTGTGGTATCATTGGAATCGCAATAACATTTTCTACACGGACATATGCATATAAATATAGATTCAATGTCGTAGCCCACCCAAAACAGTGTGGGAAGTGGTCGAAGTGTTACCGTTAGTGGTCGAAGAGATGGATAGGGGGACTGGAGGAAAGGGAGGGGGACAGATGAAGGACAGCGGACAGAAAGAGTGGGCAGGGGGACAGAGAGGTACAGGGGACAGAGAGAAGGACAGGGGGACAGAGATGGACAGGGGGACATAGAGGAACAGGGGGACAGAGAGTGACAGGGGGACAGAGAGAGGGACAATGGGATAGAGAGGGACAGGGGACAGAGAGAAGGACAGGGGGACAGAGATGGACAGGGGGACATAGAGGAACAGGGGGACAGAGAGTGACAGGGGGACAGAGAGAGGGACAATGGGATAGAGAGGGACAGGGGGACAGAGAGATGGAAAGGGGGGACAAGGGGACAAAGGGAAAGGGATCGGGGACAGAGGACAGAAAATGTGGGCAAGGGGACAAAGTGAGGGACAGGGGGACAAAGATGGACAGGGGGACAGGAGGAAAGGGGGGGAGATGTATGAGGGGGAATGTTTGCGAGAGATGGAGAAGGGGTATTTAGAACGGTAAGTTAGAGAAGGGACAACTAAGGCGCATCATTGAAAAGCAAAGCAAATGAGCATCATTGCAGTAGCAGGAGCCACGCACATCTTCAGCCTGCGTTGTTGAGACATTGTCAATTAAGCGGTGTCCAATAGCAGTATCTTCGGTATTTAAGCGATACCTTAAAAAATACTGGAATTATTGAAAGATATTAATCCAGATATTAATCCCCTTGTGCAACGCACACAAGAGGCAACAGCTTCTAGCTCTACAAGCGGCAATATAAAATAGAGAATAGGCGATTGTTTTCACTCATAGTGTAATAAACCCACGGACCCACCCACCCGCTGAAGCCGTAAATACCAAGACATTACATCCGTTTAAAATTCAGCCGGAATAATCCTCAGGTATGTGGAGGATGTGGGAGGCCTTTGATCAACCGCCGACTTCCTGCCCCGTCGACGGGGCCATCAGCCCTCAGCCAAATTCATGTGAAACATGTATGTGTGTGTATTAAATATTTTAATTTATTATTCCCAAGATTTAGCTGTTAGCTCTTGGACCCCGCCTTTCTAAGCGTCGGTTGTCTAATGTACCAACTCTCAGCCTCTTTTCCTCCATCATATCTAAACAACATATATTTTTATCTAACACACACACACACATCCCCAAGATGCAGCCTTTAGCAGCTTCCTGACTTTCAGGTTCCTATTTACTGCAAGGTGAATAGAGGCATTAGTGTGTGTATCTTTGTGTCTGTGTGTGTGTGTGTACGTGTGTGCGTGTGTGTGTTTGTGTGTATACTCACCTAGTTGTGGTTGCGGGGGTTGAGCTCTGGCTCTTTGGTCCCACCTCTCAACTGGCAATCAACTGATGTACAGATTCCTGAACCTACTGGGCTCTATCATATCTGCATTTGAAACTGTGTATGGAGTCAGCCTCCAATGTGTAATAGTCAACAAAATAAAATCCAGCCCATCAACCGTGAAGAGCTCAGTCCCCCAGGGTACTGTGCTTGCTCCAGTACTTTTTCTCATCCTCATTTCGGACATAGACAAGAACACAACATATAGCACTGTATCATCCTTTGCAGATGACACTAGGATCTTCATGAGAGTAGGCAACATAGAGGACACGGCGAACCTCCAGTCAGATGTAGATCAGGTCTTTCTATGGGCTACAGAAAATAATATGGTGTTTAACGAAGATAAGTTCCAGCTCATGCGCTATGGAAAAAATGAAAATATAAAAACGGAAACCACGTACAAAACTCAGGCAAATCATAACATAGAACGAAAAGGCAATGTAAAGGATCTGGGTGTACTCATGTCGGAAGACCTTACCTTTAAGAACACAATAAAGTAGCCGTCACAACTGCAAGAAAAATGACAGGTTGGATAACAAGAACTTTTCACACTAGAGATGCTATACCGATGATGATACTTTTCAAAACGCTTGTGCTCTCTAGAGTGGAGTACTGCTGCACAATGACAGCACCTTTCAAAGCTGGAGAAATTACTGACCTGGAGAGCGTGCAGAGATCCTTTACTGCTAGAATCCACTCAGTAAAACATCTAAACTATTGGGACCGACTAAAGAGCCTAAAACTGTACTCCCTTGAGCGCAGGCGGGAGAGGTACATAATAATTTACACGTGGAAAATATTAGAGGGGCTGGTCCCAAACCTGCACACAGAAATAACATCACATGAGACCAGAAGACATGGCAGGATGTGCAGAATACCCCCGTTGAAAAACAGAGGTGCAACTGGTACTCTGAGAGAGAACTCTATCAACATCAGAGGTCCGAGACTGTTCAACACGCTTCCACTACACATAAGGGGCATAACTGGCCGACCCCTCACAGTGTTCAAGAGAGAACTGGATAAGCACCTCCAAAGGATACCTGATCAACCAGGCTGTGACTCATACGTCAGGCTGCGAGCAGCCGCGTCCAACAGCCTGGTTGATCAGTCCGGCAACCAGGAGGCCTGGTCGACGACCGGGCCGCGGGGACGCTAAGCCCCGGAAGCACCTCAAGGTAAGGTTGCTAAGTATTCTTATATATCTACGTCTAGCTTCCAAGACAAGCACGTTATTACTTGATTGCAAACTGTTTATTGCTCGTAGTGAGGAAAGAGGAAGTAATTAAGCAGTATTAATAGTATGAAGTATTAATAATTAATACTTCAGTGTTGTCAATAATTTCGAGAGACATGAGACAAGCCCATGACATTACTCTAACAAGAGAAATGTTGAACAAGAATACTTGCATAATAGACAAAACCCAAGATTCAAGAAGATTACAAATTCTTGAGGCAATTCACATAAGAATAGAGCGACCTACCATGAACACCCAAATCACGGAACTATTTACTCTACCCACCATGAGAGTAAGGACAAGACAAGAACATATCGATGCCAACACAGAAGACAATGTCCAACATAACAGGCCAATTACACTGGATTAATCTTTGTGTTTAGATAGGAGATGCCTCGTATGGGCCAATAAGCCTTCTGCAGCCCCTATGTTTATCCCTTATGTATCCCCCCATGTTTTCACCTTCATTGTATATATATGTGTACATGTATGTATGAGAGTGTGTACATGTATATATAATATTAATAATTTTGTAACTAGTGTCACAAATTGTTATTTGCTTAGCTAAACGAACTAGAGGGTTCAGTTCCTGAACCGATTATGTGCCTCTGTAATCCTTTACACCACCGCCCACGGGATGGGTATGGGGTGCATAATAAAGAAAGAAATAGAGTTGAATTGGCCTGATTAAGACTTTATGACCATGTAATCTATGTTTTGCTCCACTACTTACTGGTTGAGTATGGGGTGCATAACAAATAATAGCCTCCTTCGGGGGCGCCTTGTTTCTAAACGTGTTAGTCTTAAATCCTTTAATCTCAAATCTTGCTACAATGTACCTCTTAATATATGTTATGTACTCTCGCAACCCAATGTACCTTCTTGTATATAAATAAATAGATTTCAACTGTAAGGGGGGTATAGTTTGCACCTTGTTATTCTAATAATGGATAAATAATTCTAATAATGGAAGCGCTAATTATATGAACAAGTGCCATGTATTTATTCAGACGAGAACAACAGCGAACACAAACCAGCGCATATACGAACGGAATGGTTTGTATGTACAAACTTCTCAGTGAACGAAGTTGTTTCTAGCCCGGTATCCGAAATTGCAGTATACGACTTGACCAGTCCCCCGAGCACCGACCGCCTCTCAGGTAACACACTATATTTTGTCTATGGTGATGTAGCTCTGGGGAGCCGAAGGGAGCTTCCCCCAGAAAACCAGTGTTGACTGTAATGAAATGCCATTTTCTGGGTGAGACCCGGAGGCTCCCTGGCACCCCCCTCCCCCATCCCTCCAGTCGGCGGCGATATTTTGCATGTTTTGACATCCAGCCTTGAACTGGTGGGTGGATCGCCGGCGCAGTGGTTCTGGGACTCCTCCTTTCCCCTCCAGGGGAGGGGGAAGCTGCACAGACATGCGGCGCGGCTCGTGTGACGTCATGCCCATTTGCTCATTTTCAGTTGGGGAGTTCTGTCCACTCGTTTGTCTATTTTAGTTGCTTTAACCAGAATAGGGGTTTGTTTTGAGGTGCTTACTTTTCTGTGTGCTTGGCCTGGTCGATGGCAGACACAGAAAACTCCAATCCCATGTGCATATATATCTTTAGGCCATTGCTCTGAGGGGGCAAGGTTCTGGCTCATGGTCCCCAGTAGGCCTAGAATTCCATACACACTGACTGATGCCAAAGTCTAATGATATACATATCAGCCTGGATAGCTCCAGGGAGTCTCTGGGTCTCGCCCACAAATGTTTCATTACATTCAATGCTGGTTTTTTGCATTATTACTCGCTGAGTTGATGTCACTTGGTGTGCGATTGTAATCTGAGAATAATGGAGTCCATTTTCTTTTTCAAAAAGCTTTTGACTTATTAATTTAACTATGCTAGCATGGAAGTATATACTTTAAGTTACAGTTGAAAATAATAATCACCTGAAAAACATTTCTGGTTACAGAGATATGGCATTTTGAAAGAAATGAAACTTGAACTGAAAATTTTTTATGGTGCTTAACTAGGTATGCTAGTAAATGCCTCAAATATGATGGATAATTTTGTTAATTACTTGTTCCTTGTATCTAGTGATTACATAAATGTAGATGTATGAAGCCTAATACAGGCATATCAAAATAATTATATTTTTTATTTATTTATATATACTGTGGTACCTCCACCTACGAATCTAATCCGTTCCCAGAGATGGGTCGTAACTTGAAAATTTGTAACTCAAAACAAATTTTCCCATAAGAAACAACGTAAATTGAATTCATCCGTTCCACACCCCCAAAAATATTAACTCAAAAATACATTTTATACCGAATACCACTCTTTCTGTGAAGAGCCCCTTCGACTCCCCGGAGCTATACCGGCCTGATGTGTGTGTATATTAGACCATGGCAACAGTCAATCGAAGGAGTTCTAGGCCTACTGGGGACCAGAGCCAGAACCTGGCCCCCTCAAGAGAGGGGGGGGGGGCAGTTTTGATTGGGGAGTTCTGTTGCTAGTTCGGCTTTCGGTTTGCAAATCAGCAGTAATTTGTTTTGGAATTCCTACCTTTCTGGGTGCCTGATGGGGAGATTGCAGACAAAGACTGCTTCCAATTACACAGGGGTGGTCTTTAGGCCATTGCTCCTTGTGCCTCTCTCAAGGGGGGCCAGGTTCTGGCTCTGGTCCCTGGTAGGCCTAAAACTCCTTCGACTGACACTTGCCACAATCTAATATATACATATCAGCTCGGTATAGCTCCGGGGAGCCTCCGGGTCTCGCCCAGAAAATGGCGTTTCATTACATTCAACGCTGGTTTTTTGTATTAGCTACAATACATTATTTATATCTTATTTTTATTGAGGACTCTTGTTTGTGTATGGAAGACAGTGAGGAGGGGGAAAGAAGGAGAGGTGTTACTGTTTGGAAGGGGGAGTCCCACTTCCATTATAACATCAGCAGTGATGACTTCTCTGGGGTACTCTCTCTCTCTCTCTCCTACATTTTGCCTGCATACCACTAGGACCTGGTTGTGGTTCACTGCTTGTTTGTTTCACTAAGAACCTCTCCATAGAGACCTTTTTCCCTACATTTTAACATTTGTCTGTAGTGAGACATCACATTCATTCACTATGAACGATCTCTTGTTTTTTCTCTATAATCATCCTCACGTGTTTTCTTAGGTAGAACCTTACCACTGACTTTCTTGGGACCCATGGCGTGATATATAATTACCTTTATGTTCAAAAAACAAAAGAAGCACAAAAACAATGAAATTCTTTACAAACGTGATCGTCACTTAGTGGGTGGCTCTAGTAAACTGAGGTGGGGTCGCCAGTGCCACCAGGAACCACGCGTCACTTGACCCATACGTGTATCAACAAAGTCACAAGTCGAGGCCAAGGTTGTAAGTCGAGTAAAATTTTCCAACAAAATTGGGGTTGTAACCCGAAACATTCGTAAGTAGGGGCATTCGTAAGTTAAGGTTCCACTGTACAAGATATCTTACATTCTTCTACAGCCACTAGTTTGCATAGCATTTCATACAAGTCCTGAATCCTAATTTTCACACACACATATCCCCAGGAAGCAGCCCATAATAGTTGTCTAATTCCCAGGTACCTATTTACTGCTAGGTGAACAAGGGTATCAACGTGAAAGAAACTCTGCCCCATTTGTTTCCACTTCCGCCGGGGATCGAACCTGGACCCTTAGGACTATGAACCACGAGCGCTGTCCACTCAGCCGTCAGGCCCCCAACATTTCTACATTTACTATGCCTGCATTAGGCTTTTTACATCTGAATTTCTGTAGTCACTAGATATAAGGTACATTATCTACATTTAATAAGTTCACTTTATAATACTGTACGTAAACAAAAAATCCAGGATCAGGTACAGAGAATGCTGGCTTGAGTAAAACTGTACCCGACAGGTGCAATAGAAAGAATCACTTCTGGTAATAATTGTTATGATCAGTTTCAACAAAAAATAACAGTCTTTGCAGAATTAATTCACAAGAACATGATACAGTATATCTAAGAGTAAATAATGAAGTCTTATGATGGAATTGAACCCACATCCCTCTGGATTTGCTAGATGGGAACTTGGTGCTGAAAACAGTGGGTGTTGAATGTAGTGAAATACTAGTTGCCATGTAATCCCTGGATTACTCCCAGGGTCAGGAAGCATTTGGACCTCCAAGACAATGCCACTTTGCTAGAATCTTGTGACCATCCTCTCAAGCCTGATGAGGATCTTTAATAAGAATCTTTGTGAGTTGAGGATGTAGACCACTTTACTATGTGATACATATATAATGTGGGTGAGGAAGACAATGGCAAGTCTAACTCAATCCATCACAAAGGGACCACTTGTTATGAGACACAGCAGTCAACACTTAATTAGCAAAATAAAGAATATTGACTACTGTGTTGGAACCATCATTAATGACAAAGTTACCCACTGCCACAGCTACTAATAATCAGGGTCAAACAGAGCTGCATTCACACTAAGTCCAACTCGCCCAAGCAAGTTTGGAGTAGAAGATACAAAAAAGATGGGAATGAGAGTATTCAAGGAACTGGTTGGAAAGTAATGCTTCATTCTCTGCACACCATTTCTGAGTCAAGGTCCCTTGATTGCTCACTGAGCTAACTCTCTACACTGAATGAAAGATCACTAGCCAATTCCAATATCAACTACATTGGTGCCTCAGAATACAGAGATGACAAACAAAATTAGTGCGCCATGACTGACTCCCGGAATAAATCCAACACAGTCCACTTACAGGCTCTAAGAGCCACAAAGAATGTGCATAAACAACTTAGCCCTACTGTAGTACTGAAAGTCATTGAAGCAGATAAAACAGACATAGTCTGCATACCATAAAGATGTGGGACGTAGCAGAGTCGAGTTCCTAGAGTCCTAGTTGTTATTATAAACAGCCTCCTGGTGCTTCGGAGCTCATTAACTGTTTAATAATTGTAAACAAAGCAGCCAAAGATTGAGAAAAGATGTACAGGTTCGTAAGTGCTTGTGTAACTAATTCGTGAATCTGGCCCCAGGTTTCTGGGTGATCTGGTCAGCCTACTGGTGTCAGTTGGGAGAATTACAGCAAGGGTTATTTACCCTTTGCCAACTATCATCAGCTTTTTCTGAATTTTGGCTTAAGAGCAATGTCCCTTTTTTCCCACCTGTGACTTTCTGGGTGGCATTTCCAGTTTTGGGTCATAATCCAAATGTGAGCCTCTGGGGTTCACAAGGAAAATGGCATTTCAACTAACTTACAATATTACAGAAAAAAACTTATGATATCTAGTTTACATTTACAGCTCCAATTACAATCTACAGTATTCAGTATATATTTCATCTTGGCTCGATCATCTTGTACACAAAACACATTAGTCAACAAATTAATCTCGAGTCAACAATAACAGGGAATTAATGTCTTCTATATTCTTTATTTTTACTATGTAAACCATATATCTATAGAAGCAGCCACTGATATGTATGGTATTGGGGAATGCAGATTTGGTGGTATGTAGATATCCCTTTTGTACAGTACAAAGTTTCAAAGTACAAATGAGAATTCAAGATTATTTTAACATCTGCAGATATACCACTTTCTCTGCTTTGTGTCAGGCTCCCACAAACTACACATTTTTAGTGGTTCATGTTTTAGATCATGTGATCTAAATCATGATCCAATTTTAGATCATATTGAGTGAAGCATGGCTGTAGCCATGTAGCCACTCGCTTCTTTGAGAGGACCAAGTTTTGAGCTGGATTTACAGCATGCTGTGAAAGTTAAGATCAAGTACAGTTGGAAAGGTCTCAAGAACCAATGCCTAAGCTCTGGGAAGTTATTGAAGGGCTGCACTGAAAAGGTCTTTACATTACACTATACAGTATATTAAAATCAATTTTCTTTTAAGGCAGCTGTCTAAGTGGGACTGGCCAGTTCAGAAAACATGACAAATTAAATTTTATCAGGGACATAATTGTAATCTGTAAACTTACTTCTCAGAGAGTGTATCGTACAGCAAATCTAAACGCCATTCCTGACGGGGGCGAGAGGCTAAAGCAGCGTATTACTGAGTTGGAGAAAGAAATATTGATGAAGGATTTAAGGGCTAGTATTGACTCTGCATCATCTGAAATAGAGGTGATATATGGTAAGTGAATTGTTTACAATGTAATACTACCAGATCATATTTTTAGAATAAATTATGTAGTCTATACAGTAAAAAATATCTAGTAATAGCCCAAATGCATTAATCTTGGAAGCTACATTCAGATGGGGAGGTGAGGTGGCTACGGCAGAAGTTTCACTCTTTCAAGGATTCGAACCCAGATAGCTAGGAGCACTCTCCACCTTGGCATATCTGGTACCTTAACTGCTATCAACATTTTTGTACAATCAGTTGTGGTCTAGTGGCTAAGGTACCAGATACACTAAGGCGCATAGTGCTCCTGGCTGTCTGGGTTCGAATCCTTCTGGGATGTAGAGTTTTCAGTTGTATAAAGATATATAGTATATACACTGTATACATAGGGATGCTGTCTGTAACAAAAATTACTTTTGTGTTTGTGTCAAACATTAACTAATAATGTGAAATTGTTTTAGTTGGAGGGCCCCAACATGAGTATCGTCAGATACAACTGACGGAGTATCCAGACTTTGCAGTAGGTGTCCAGAAGCCTAAGCAGCCCACTCATCACATGGCTGTGCATGATCTGGAAGCCATGTATGCTCGCAATTTGGACATTGGTGCTCGTAATTATGGTGGAAAAATATCATCAGGTATGAATTTGTGCCTTAAACATATGTTTAATTGTTGGATTGGTCATTTGCTGAGGGAAACATTGCTGTAGGATGTGTTGATTTAATATGCGGAAGATATAATGCAGTGTTAATTCTTTTTCTATGGCAGTTGGAAGGTGTTGTCAACAAAAAAGCAAATTGGTATTGAGTGTGATAGTGTTGTATCTGGGTGCCAAGAGATTATCTAATTCATGCCATATTCTACCAGGTCACTGCTTGTACACTCTTACCATAGTAACAACATTCCTCGGACATCATTTAGATCTGTCCTTGGGAACATTAACAATTCACAGTTTTTGGTATTAAGTACAGTACTTTCTTTTCTAATATGTACAACTTTATATAATGCTTTTTTCCCAGGACCACTTCTACTGTTATGCAGTACATAATTGTCAATTGTACTTAAGAATTAATTTCTTCTAGCATTTTCACTGTTTGCTTAGAACTCTTCAAGGAGATGTCCATTTAAAGGGCCTGGTGCATGTGCACCGAAACTTCCTCAAAAACACTCAATTTTTTGTGTGCATAATCTCAATGGTAAATGCTCCAACTTTTCCTAATGGATCAACATCATACCATAAAAAAAAGAAAAAAAAAAAGAATAAATGTCTTATAATGTCACCAATTGTTATTTTATTCATTATGGTTTTAGAATGACATATAACATTCATTCTCCTCTGATGGAATTATTGTTTAAGAATATAGTTTACTGTAAAACATTTTTTGAATGTGGCCATCCAAATATGTGCCAATGTTATACGCAAATTATTTATACGTAACTGCAAACTTTATAGCTTTGACTAAACAATTCAGAGGAAGCCCTAGAACTAAAAACTTTGCACATATGTAAAAAGGTGAGAATCGGTCAGAAACTGAAGTTTTTATTAGGTCAAAGTTGAAAATGTTGTTCATGTTGTTGTTCATCTCTTTATCCCTGATTGCCAGTAAATTGGAGGTGTTATCGTTATTATCAGTACCGGTTGCTTCCTGTCGCACACGCATTTATTTATTTAAAAATAAGTAAAAAATCCATTTCTTAACATATTGGGATGAAATTTTCACGACGCTGATGCCAAATAACGGGAGATTTGTTTAAAATTTTTAACTTTTTTTTTCATATTTTGAAGTCTCCACATGCACCAGGCCCCTTAAATGTTGTACAGTATTTCATAATTTCATAATAGGGAAAGGTGTTTTTCTATTAAATATTTCATATTTATATATTATTCTTTATAAATACAGCATACAATACATTGGACATGTTAAAGCATTTACATAGTAGGTAAAGTCCTTGTTTAATATAAATTGTTATATATGTAGACATAGAGGACTGGAGGATACTCTTCTTTGTTACTTAAATGCTATATACAAATATCTAGGTATGGATGTACTTAAAAATCTTGTACTCCATTATATTGGAATATGTACTTAAACAGGAAGAGGGATTTTATAGCTTGCCATGTCTTCCATAGCACGTGAGAGGGAGATGGTGAGAGTGACAAGTGATGCCATTGAAGGTCTTCACAGTGCCATAAAGTCGGCTCCAGATGTTGAAGTTGTTGAAGAGGAGGATCCAGAGGGCCTGAAGGTGCCCCTCCTGGTACACCAACGCCGGGCACTTGCGTGGCTGCTCTGGAGAGAGAGGCTCGTGCCTCCTGGTGGTATACTTGGTAAGCTGGTTTTTATTATGTATCTAGGAATACCTTACTGCAGATTTGATAAAAGTAATACCCTCTTCTATGAAAAAAGTGCCAATACAATATTAGAGAATGCCTTTTTAATATTATATTTTACTACTGCATATGGTGCAGTAATGGTTTGTTTTTATTGGGCTATGTAGCTGTCTGGAATTGAATAATTATGGGGGACCATGGGCTTAAATGATGTCCTACTATTTACAGTGGGCTATATTGCTAAATCTGGGTTTGAATTGAACCTACTTAAATTTGAGTTTCCATAAGAACTGGTAGTATAATGTGGAGATGCATTCCTTGCAATGTAACCAATAAATTTTGTGAACCGAATTTGAGTGCTGTATTATTATACAAACATTAACCATACCTTTCTCAAATTTATAAATTTGAAGCTTAATATATTTTCTGTAGGGGGAGCCTCATCAGCTCCCTGGAGCTATGGGGCAACCGAACAGAGGCTAGAACCCCCCCCCCCCCAAAGAAAAACAAACTATCACAAGCAACATTTCATCACGCCAAGTTTGCAAATAATCACACAAGTTTATTTGCAGAATTTACCCATTCTGCAGCGGCTGAGGTTAGGGGTTAAGCGGCTCGCGCATTGCATGCTAGGTTTATGTTGCGGCATCGTGCTCGATCGGTTGAAAGGGAAGTTTCATAGGCTATAGCTCCCTGTGCCTCTCTGAGAGGACCATGTTTCTGGCTAGTGGTCCCTGGTAGGCATGACAACTCCATATGTCTGAAGCCTCATACTAATATTAGCTAATATCAGTCTAATAGCTCCAGGGAACCTCCAGGGCTCTACCCAGTAAATGGCGTTTCATTACATTCAACGCTGTTTTTTTTTTTTTTTAGCTGATGACATGGGTCTTGGCAAGACTCTGACGATGATCGCCTTAATATTACGTCACAAAGAACTAGTGAAAGAAGGAGCTATTGCCGAGGACTTCTCTTCTCTAAGAGAGAGTGACCAAGAGAGCGAGGATGATGACGAAATAGGGGCTCATGAATGGATTAAAAGAAGTGGTATGGATATGCAAAAATTATACATTTTTTTGTATTTTCTGGGTTGGCCTTTTTATTAGCCTCCCAAGTTTGCTTACATTGGCACCTAAGGAGTAGTTGGGAGATTTTCTACTGTATCTAAAGTTATACCGACTTGGTTATATCTGTCAATTATCCTAATTCATTTTGAATGTATCCATTACTGTTTTTGTTCCAGGCTCATCAAAATCCAGTCTAGTTATGTCTAGTGGCACGCTAGTAGTGTGTCCAGCTTCTCTTCTCGGTCAGTGGGAAGGGGAAGTTAAGAGTCGTGTTTCCCGGCGCATAATGAAGTGTGCTGTTTATCATGGAAATAACAGAAAAACTGATATTAAGGAGTAAGTTTTGCTGCATTTTCTTCATCTTGTGTTGTTTGGTTGGAAACGTGATACAGGTTTTTTTGTTTTGTTTTTAGTAAGATGCAGAAATATCGGTAATTTTAAGAGAATTGCAGTTGCTACTGTTAAATGTTAAATAGAGAGAACATTTTGTTGCATACAAAATTAACACATCAAATTGCAATTAAGACTTCATTTTATTTCAGCCTGGCTCGTTATGACCTTGTAATCACTACTTACCAGCTGGTTATGAAGGAAGCCTTTCCTAAGGACAAAGGAAGTGTGTTGAAGACAAATAAGGATAATGTACCCAAGGTAAATGTATACTGTCAATGTTTAGATTTGCCGAGATGGTAAATGGCCATCGTTAGTTTTATTATATTTTTTTTAAGTTTTCCTAAGATTATTTCTTAGTCTGACTTCGTAATGCCACGGCAGATTTTGCCACACCTATCCATATGTCTTTGTCTGCATTTAGACATGTGGCTACATCTTAACTATGACTGCATTTCTAGCTTTTGTCTCCCAGGCTTCTGGAGAAGTTTGAACTACTGTATAGTAAATGGGTTCTGCACTGTAGGATTTTGTGCCATGTATACGAAGAAAAAACATTTGTCTTATGCGATTTAAAAAGTGCTGTTGCATATTGGCTTGTCAGTTAACACCAAAGTGTGGTGGTGCCAGAAAGGCCCCTTATTGCTATTGGGCCATGTAGCCTCCTGGTGGCAGACTTTGGAAAGATTTTAAATCAGTTTGAGAAAGGGGAGACCTTGACCATTATGAAAAAAAACCTATCTGCACCAAAATATGTACTGTGTCTACATACTGTACTCTGATGCCAGGGAAAACAAAAGTATGTTGTTTTTAATTGCTGTTTATCTTGCAGGTAAAAGCAAAGAATCAGGGTCATCTTTTCCGCATTGGGTGGACACGTATTATTTTGGATGAGGCACACACTATTCGAAACCACAAGAGTAAGACGTCGCAAGCCGTGTGTTTACTTCGAGGTGGTAGACGATGGGCCTTGACAGGAACACCTGTTCAAAATCGGCAGATGGATTTGTTCTCTCTTGTGCGATACTTGAGAGCCTCTCCATTTGATGATTATACTGTAAGTGGATGTACAAAATATTTATTAGCTTAAATTGTATTACATTGGAGCACTGACATATGTGTTAGTTAAACCACAATTTGGCGAACTATATGGGACCATACCCAATTTGTTGGAGTGAGGAATTTGTTGCATCTGGAGATAACTTCAGGAAGAGTTTGTTATACAATTGTTTAAGGCAAGAAAGATGTATTACTATAAATGTTTTTCTCCCAATTTTCATTCGTCTATAAATTTAATAATTGAATGATTGGAGCCATAAAAAGTTATCAGTCATACTCTTTAATATTTCTCTATGGTCTGTACGCTGATTTCTTTGAACAAAATTTAATTTCAACCCATTATGATGGACAACTTGTCCATTGGTCTGTGAATTTTGGCCCTGTTTCCTGAGGAGTGCCCTGCAACTCTGCCTCGCCAAACAAGTCTTCAGCAATTTGGCAAGGTGGTAGAGTTAATCAGGCGCCAGATTCACGAAGCAGTTACGCAAGCACTTACGAACGTGTACATCTTTCCTCAGTCTTTGACGGCTTCGGTTACATTTATTAAACAGTTTACAAGGTTAAAAACTTACCAATCAACTGTTGTTATTGTTATAAACAGCCTCCTGGTGTTTCGGAGCTCATTAACTGTTTAATAATTGTAAACAAAGTCGCCAAAGATTGTGAAAAGATTTACAGGTTCGTAAGTGCTTGCGTAACTGCTTTGTGAATTTGGCCCCTGGCCTGGAAAGTATGCATTACAACTGAAAACTCACCGAAATGAAAATCCAAAATAGGTTGTACTGTATAGTATATAGAAGCAATATTTTTTGTCATCTTGCAAGTAAGGTTATTGTGATTGCAATAAAAGCTTGAAAGTGTATTGCCTGGCTTATAAACTTGAATTTGAGGCTACCCAATATTCTCTACTTCAACTTGACCCTTGAATTACCCTTTTTCCATTCTTTATCACCTTGTGCTTGTGGCTTGTTTTTCCCCTGTTTGCTGAGGGCAGTCATCATACTTGTCATTTCTTCATGCTTGAACCTGGTGGCAGTAAAAGTTGGATGGAGTGTCAATAGGTGGTTGTTTGGCTGCTGTACTTTGTTCAGTAGTTTGATCTTCAAAGATTTCTTGGAAAATGTAGAATTTAAAATGTTAAGAAGTTGCCAGTTTTAGAGGAGGTTGGCTTTCTGATGTTTTTTTGTAATCTCTTCTTGGTTATGTGGAAGACCTCGTATCCTCAAACTGTCTTTTTGAGAGGGGGCCATATTCTGATTATAGTACAGTATTTGGGGCTCCAAGACCATACAAAAAACAAAAAAAAAAAATAAACCATACCCAATGTGCCCAGACACAATGGGCCTAATCATGCTGAGAGGAGCTTGATCATCCCCCTTCCCCCCATACCATTTCAACATTAGGGTGTATGTGGAATAAGGGTTAGCAGGAAAAATTGCCTGCCAAGCCAAGGTGAATCAAGACTGCCCTGGTGGGGAGCAGGAACAGAAGCACAAAATCCGAGATAACGGAGCTGTAGAACCCCTAACGTTTCCAGGATCCAGCAAACCGCATCCACTTTGCAGTCTGGAAGCAAGAGGTCGATGCCCACCGTCAAGGATAGGACCCAAGGCTGTAAACTGGCACCTAACTGGATGTAACTCGGCAGGGTGTATGTTTGCTAAGCCGTGCCTAAAGCCACTCGGCAAAGGAAGATGTGAGCCACCAATAACAGCTAGCCACATAACCCTGACTTTAAAGAACCGATGTGGATTGTTAAATTGGGGCACATGCAATGTGGGTGGTGTGAAAAATAAATGTGAAGCAATAAGTAATGATATTAGCAATGGCTCTTGCACGAAACTACTGTCAGGCATGACCAACAGCACTCGTCAGAAATCAGGGTTCTGCTCTAGAACAGACACGAGGCTTTTGAATGAATTAGCTGGCTGGTTGAGGCCTTGGGTTGCAGCAAGTATAACCAAGAGGCAATTTCACTACGATAACAAGCATTTGCATTGTTAGTCAGGGATGCAAATGATTCTAAACAGATACTTATTATAGAGTTCTACTTCTTTCTGGTAGCGGTTTGTTCTGCCGTGGTCTGATCCTCTGGCTCCTCATGACCTCTTTGAGGAGGGAGTCCAAATTGTGGACCTAGACTGCAGTAGATGCTAGAGTCGTTAGAAGCCTGGTATGTCTCGGAAGTCTTGGATGGTCCCAAGTTGTAGCATCATGAAGTTGCAGGAGCTTTTTCAAAAAATAATAATTCTCGCCCATTAATTGTGCATTATTATTTACATAAAGTAGTGTCAGAAGTAAATGAGCTGCTGTTCCTCCCACAAAATCTCTCATAAACTCCTCTTCAGTCTATCATCCATCCATTCACTCAATACTGTTTTGGTACACTTTACACAATCTTGTGGCTTAGAATGTTTATATTCCACAGTAATTTAATTCTTTGTTTATCTATTTTTTAAACACCAAACATGCTTCCAAGTTGTCTATTTCCAACATTCTTTTTTTCCCTCCTTTGTATTATTATGTTCTTTACAAAATATTATTATTTACAGTGTTGGAATTTGCAAGTGACTAAAAATGGTGCGCAAGGGACACGCCGACTGAAGCTTTTGATAAAAGCACTGATGTTGCGGAGGACCAAAACTCAAGTAAGATATTTGCATACATTTGTGAAAGGCTTTTAAGAATTTGTCAACCTGTATAAATCTGGTGATACTGTACTTGTATGACTTGTTAACTTAAGAACTCTATATATACATCATTTGAAGGAACCTGACATGGCAATAAAACTATTGACACCAGTTCACTACAGTACTGTACAGTATTTCTTTTAGAATTGCCTAACAATTTTCATCAGATTTCATTTCATTGAGCATTTAAGAATGCATCCTCCCCTCTCCTTTTCCCTTCGGTTTTTTTCCTTTCCAGCAAAGTTTAGGTGACAGAATAGTTATTACAGTAATAACATAAAAGTATCGTTCCTTGAAATTCTGTTCAAATTAAACAATTGGTTCTGGCCCTTATCGCTGCATCTGAGTTTCTGTTGAACCCTTAAAGTGCAGCTATAGATATTCATTCATTTCTGCCCCCTGTGCAAAATAATTTAGAAAGCGATTTCCTTTTATACAATGATTAACTTGGATGCAAAAATGTAGGGAAAAGTTGAAGTAATGCAAACATCTAGTGGATAAGTGAGTACTGTGGTAAAAGGTTGACGCGCCCAGCCAGATGTGTCGGTATGAGACCTCGCGTCAAGCTGACACACCAGCATGTGGGAAGAGTACTCCATTGATGGCCTTGGATGTTTCTATGGTAGTTTTTCTTTTTAGTTCATTCGCTATAATATTTGTTTAACTGAATTTATGTACAGTACATGTAATTTAGAAAACATGGATTGAGTGTTACTAACTAGAGGTATGTATTTAAGCCTACAATGAATGTATATATTAGTGAATGTAAATATAAATGAATGAATGAAAGTATCAGTAGGAATATGAGAACTAAGGGGACTGCAGAAGTCCTATGGGTCCATACGAGGCAGCTTCTATTTATATCAACCCGAACTCATACGTTTGGGTGGATATAAATAGGAGGTGCCCAATATGATGCAATAAGCCTTCGCTAGGTCCTTTATTATGTTTAAATGATGAGTGGTTGATCTGGTATGCTTCATTACAGCCATATGGAGTTGTGCAAACCATATGTACATAATTGGTAAACATGTGTAATTATAATGGAATTTTATACCAGTTGTTGTACTACAAATACTAATACTAATTGGAATACTACATTTGCATTGACAGCTGCATTTGCATAGTAAGCAATCATAAAAATGATAACAGAATTTTGTTTAATGGGGCAAGGTAAACTCCCCTACATCCATATAGAGATATTATATTCATATTAGCATCATTCGCATTAACCCAAACAATAGTTTGTCAACAAAGGATAACTGCACTTAAAGGGTTCAAATGATCTCTATTCCAAGCTAGGCCCCCCCTCGATAGTGCCCCTAGTTCATAATTGTGATCTTTGTAGGGTTTTGTGCTCATGACAGGCTCTGAGTGACCTTAAACCCTAGAAAATGTGTATCATTTCATAGTAACTTTTTTTTTTTTTCTCCAAGGGTTAGAAAGTTTGGTGAACACAGGTAGATTCATATCTGACTTCAAACACACTTTAAACGAACCTTGTTCATTCAAAATTTGCCAAGTATCATTCTGAACAATCTGAGGACACAAGCCCAGCTATTGCTGATTGGCACTAGATAAGCAGTGCACTCATGCAAATAAGATGGAGTCTGCAGTTATCACACACTTTTTGTCTGCTTTGGCTCTTAATAGCTAAAAAAAAAAATAGATTTAGATTGTCATTAAGCAAAACTGTCAGTCAGATTATCCTTTGATTCCCATTTCATATAATTTGCATGATTTCAAATCTTTTTGGCATGGCCTCTTATAAAATTAGTTAAGACCCAACCATTGTCACTTTAATTTCCTGTATGTAAGTTTGATTATTTGTTTTCAGTCATGTTATCCTTTATTCTTTACATATTCATATTATGTTTCTAACAACTTTTCCTTCAAAATACTGTAATGTATACCTATTGCATTTTCTCCATCTGTGACTTTAGGTTGATCAGAAAACGGGTGAAAAAATAGTGGACCTGCCAGAGAAGAAGATACTGCAGCACACCCTGTCTCTGTCCCAGGAGGAACGGGAAGTGTATGACAGAGTCTTTGCCTTCTCAAGGTTTGTAACAGTGTAGATTTTGTCTGAATGGGGTTACCTTTATTATTACAAATAAAGGGGGTTATGCCTATTACCATAATGGGGACTTGTGTGTTCAGTATGGTTCACTTTCTTTAGGTTCTGCAGATATTCACTGTTGGTCTCTTGTGCTCTTGTTAAAGTTTGCCGGCTCGGATGACCGCCAAATGAAGAGGCTTGTGCCTCTTGCTGTTGGTTGTTAGCTTTCCAGCTGTCTTTAGGTAATGTGTTTTGCTGCAGCATGGTTTAGTTGACTGCCAGTTATTCTTGTTGCACTTGTTCGTCAGTTCAGCATTGGAAGGTTGATGCATTTGCCTGGTCTGCATCTGAGGAATGTTACTCCTATTCCCTGTTGGCTGTAAATATAGTTCGTTTATCTACAGCCTCTTGCTGGCCTTTGGATAAGAATAAGCCTCTGGTGTACCTTTGATCCTAGGTCAGTGCTGGTGTGGCCCATCCTTCCAGATCTCTTTGTTTACTTTGTCCTGTTGTGGCTGTGTGTCGCTACCTCCAGAGTAATGAGTGTCTTAATCTTTCAATGCATGCATGCTTTGGAATAATATACAGAAGAGTAAGCACAGTCTACCCCTGAGCTGCTTCACCCATGTTCTTGATCTCTAGAGATTTTGCAGCTTTCTTGACCGTCTTTGGCAATATATTTAACCATTATGAAGACCTAGTGTTTCTGTAATTCTGTCAAGTCAACCAATGTCTACGAGACCTGTCCGGTATTAGTAAAGAGTACATTATAATGAACTTTCCCTTCATGGGCAGTACCTGGGTTCCTTTCCGTACCCACCCATTGATCCTCGTCTTCCACGAGTCTGAGGTAGTGTCTGCTCAGAGGAATTCTCCGATCCTCTGGGAAGTAGGGTGGCTACCTAGTGGTGGCTGGTGAAGTCACATGGTGGTGCACTACTATCAAAAGATTGTACAGTCTCCTTCTTTCAGAGGGAGCTTGAGTATTTTATGGCATTATTGTATGTTAATGTGAGACATTTGATTTGCTTGTATTATTGATCTCTGATCTCAATGAGCTCCGTGCTCTGCTAAGGGGATATAGAATATTGAGCCAAATAACCTCAATGAGGCAATTTTCACTTATTTTGATGATAGAAAAGGATGACAACACTATGGGTTGTATTCCTCTCTTCTATGTGGAAGTGTGGGTGACTAGGTAGTAGAGAGTTTTGTATGGCGATTCTATGTTGCAAAATATTACTGAGGGAGTTCAGGGTTTTGAAGAATCGGTTATGGCGGGTGGTTGAGCTTGGTGGTGGTTTGATATTGGCATAGGCACGATAATTAACCAAGGTGGCAGTCTCTGACAGGTCAAGAGTATCGACCAAGAGCCTGGATATTGACCATATTGTAACTGTGTTGACATAAGCTAGGGAAGCTATTGAGGTTATGCTCTGGAAGTTGGCATTTCATTTCACTTGACACCTCACTTTATTCTGAGCCAATGTTATTTGATTGCTCCAGACCCACCCACCCTTCCAACTTCTGTGCACAGCTTCATTGTATCTGTGCATAGAAGAATGTGATGAGCTGGGAATCTAAGGATTGTTATGCATAACCAAATTGATTGCATAACCAAAGCAGCCAAAGGTACTAAGTTGCTAGGCAAGTAGACTGCTAGGTAGGGACCTTGTTTGGGGTCAGATTTGATCACAAGGAAGAGCTTGTGGGTGTTTGGTTTCAATGGAATGCCCCTGTCAGTAATTCTTGTTTTTTTAATGGCACTGCAGGGAGCCACTTCAGTAAAGCTTCAAGTGGCACCAGTGCCCAAAATGTTTCGTATCTCATTGTCATGATATATTTTCTAGTGTACTTGGAGACCATTTCTAGAGCTATTTCTCACCTTGGGGCCATAAAATGGCATTGCACAGGGCCATGGTTTTGATATTCACCGAGGGGCTCTAATTTTTAGGGGATCTTTTTTTTTTTTCTTAATTTGGTTAGTTTTTTTTGCCTAAAATTCATTGAATTCGCTTGCATATACATATTAATTTTCTGCAGTGATATTCTGTTTTAGGATCACTAAACTTGTATGGTTTTGGAAGCTTTCTATAATTTTTCTTTTTTGTTTTATCTAAATATTGTTATAATATGGAACGAGCACTCATTTTATTAGAAATATAGTTAAAAGATTGATACAAAATTGCATTTCTCTATCGTGAAACTTAAAATAAATACATAAATCAAATACATTTCAATGCAATTTTGTTTTATTTGAGTTTGAATTACTATAGTGTTTATATATAATTACCTTCAACATATACCTTCTGATTTTTATATACATTGTCTCAATTTTTGTATGCATTATTAATGTAGAACTGTGTAATATTTGATACAGGTTGATCAGTTGTATGAATGTTGTATTTAGGTCAATATAACAATATTAGTTCCTCCTCGCAGGGCCACTATGATTCAATATATGAAGAGCAACGAGGAGAAGGAAAACGAAAAAGCAGAAAAGTGGCCTGGCCCAAATCCTTTGGTGAGCACTAAAACACAGGCCAAACCTGCTGGTGAGTTACCTTAAGTGGTGCTCCTTGAGGGGCTACTTTGATCTTCTAAGACTTGTTGTATGCTCAGTATCGTTATCATAATTAATCTTCCATTTCATGTCCTCGATCATTTGCTCCTCATTAGCATTCTATAGTGAAGGGATACAAACCAAATAAGGTTTCAATAGATTTAACAATATAGAAGTTGTTAAACACATTGGGACATAACCTTACTGAAGCCAACATATGAACCATAAACACTTGTCTGTTGTCTAAGACTGAAATTAGTAATTTCAGTCTTGGCCAGCCAAAGAGGGTCTGCACATGAATATATCTGCAATTTTGTTGTTGTTGCATGGTCTCCCATTTTGGCCACCTTCTTCCTTTGACAGTCTGTTGTCTCTATATGGACTTTTGATTAACATTGCAGAATTGTTATTAGCGTAGACAATTAAACTTCAAATAACCCCAGTTGTTAAAGAAAAATATTAACTTTGACTTCTGTACTCGTAAACTTCAACCAATTTGTAAACAAAATATAAATATTGGAGCATGTTATCTATATTTTGAGGAAACATGACTATTAATTTTGTCTTGCTTCTGGCTCTTTAGGACTACCCATGTTGAGATTATTTTAGTTTTAAATTTGTTCATTCCTTAGCTTTCATATAGTATAGCTGGTGGAGGTTACTTCCCTAGAACTGTTCGGTGCCCATGTAAATAAACCTGAATCATTTATACAACATTAAAATAAATATGGAGGTTCTGTACAATAAAAAAATTATGTAATTTAGTTATAATAAATTTGGAACTCCCAATAAAGTTTCAACCAGAAAGCGTGAAGGTTTAAGCCCTATACAGGTGATCTACAGTATATTGGTTTCTTAAATATAATTATTAAACAACTTCAGTATCGAAAGGTCTTAAAAAGTTTTGTGAATTTTAACTTTTTTTTTATTTTTTGGGTATTGGTAAGCCCTATAGCTAGCTGTGGTTACAATAGAAGGGTAGTAAGAGTTGTTTTAATACTAATCTTTCCATGAATTTTTGTGCAATGCTCTATAGAAATTAGTGCATCATTTATAATGAATTTAATTAAAAACCTCCCTGAAACATTATTCTCGCTCATTCTTTAAAACTGTAGATTTTTCAGTATTATGTACATTGTTCAAGGTAAAGGCATATCACTTGTTAACAATTTTCTAATTAATAATTTGTTGACACCAGCAGGCAAGAAATATACTCCAACACTGAGCAGTGAAGTGGAAGTGACGGGAGAAGTTAAAACCCACCAGCTGCTCGTGTTGATTCTAAGACTTCGTCAAATCTGCTGCCATCCATCACTTATAAAACAGGTGAGCTTCATGCACTCGACCACTATGACTAAATTGCAGAAGCATTAGAAGAAAAATAAGATGCAGATGTGCTGTGCATGGACTTTGCGAAGGTGCTTGTTAAGGGTTCCCTTAAAGTGATAGCCCATATGATATCAGTAGGAATAACAGGTAAAGTTGGGTGATGGATATTCAATTTCCTGTCACAGAATGCAGAAAGTAACAAACAAAATTAGGTGCAAGCACAGTGAAAAGCTTCATACCGTATGGGGCAGTCTTTGCCCCACTGGTTTCTCTCGTTAGCCCACATGAGATACGTTATGTTACAGCTTCGTGTCATATTTTGCAGATGATACATTAACACACAAAATTCTGATGTGGAAGACTGAAAAACTATAAGCCTATATCAATGAAGTTTGTTTAAAAATAAGAGTAGGTATATTGTTAAAGTGGCAGGCTAGAGCAGACACTGGGTCTGTGTGGCCAGCAGTGTGGGGACAGTGACCCGATGTAATCGGTGATGACAGAGGGGGCGAGGTGTTGACAACGATGTTGATGAAGAGGAGCCAATTGAGTGAATTGTGACCCATTGTCAACCTTGCTTATAGATGTCTAGGGCTCGTACATTGTGATAGAGGATGTACCAGTACTGTCCATGTATAGTACTAGGGTAGTGTGGACCCGAGAAAATACTTGTAATTATCCTAGTGCAATTACAGGATGAGCTATCCTGTGTGGCATGATAGTCCCTACAACCTTCTCTATGCGCGAACTGTCCTTGGGCTATATTTGTAGAAGACACAAAGATATCACAATAACGTGAAATATCGATGAAAAAATCAGTAGGAGCCATGAGGAGGATTTGAACCTGTGCTCTAGGTACTCCCAAGCATACACCTTAAACCCCTACACCATGACATGGTAAAAGCAATATCACAGAGGATTCAACTTGTAACCAACCTCCAAAGACTTGTTAATTTTAATGTATTGTGTGCTCAAAATTGGCATTTTCTCAAATATAAAATAATAAAAGTATATTAGAATGTTGTATAATTAGGCCTTGGTTAGGTTAAATATTTTTCCGTTAGCAATTATATGTACTTTGTTGGTGACGCATTTACGAAGGAGTTTTTCGAACAGAGGACGTCATCGACTGTTGGAAAAAAGTTTGAATTTCATTGGTCAAGAGTTGGATGAAGTGGTTATTTATTTGAAAATGGGGTTTAGCAGCTGGATTAACGAGCATTTGGCTCTTGTTAATGAGGACGGGCTGCAGTGAGTCACTGTCTGACCACTGTTGTTTAAATTGCTTATTGAAGAGACCGACTCGTGTGGCATGTTTTCATCAAGTCTTGACAACCATCATATCAATTTACCTTCAATTTTGTTAAAGGTTCCATAATTGAAGAAGGTGCTCTGGTCATTGTAGCAGTGCCACTGGTACCTGCTCAACTGGGACCCTGCACTCATCTATGATACTGTACTTTGATGCTTTCCTGAGTATGTGACACTTCCTGGTAGTGTTTCACACTGGGGTAATTTGCAGGTAACTATCTCTCGAGATTGTCTAGAACACTGAAGATGCTGTACGATTTACTCTCAAGCTGGGAGTGATAATGCTTTCTTGTTGATACAGTGTGTTTTCTTTTATTGAGAAGGTTGACTGCCTCCTACACATTAATAGCCACATTGAATGTTGTTTTTAAGCATTTTAGTTTTATCAGTACTGGGTACTAACATTATTATTTCGTATTAGTTTTCATCTTGAGGTTATCTTGAGATGATTTCGGGGCTTTAGTGTCCCCGCGGCCCGGTCCTCGACCAGGCCTCCACCCCCAGGAAGCAGCCCGTGACAGCTGACTAACACCCAGGTACCTATATTACTGCTAGGTAACAGGGGCATAGGGTGAAAGAAACTCTGCCCATTGTTTCTCGCCGGCGTCTGGGATCGAACCCAGGACCACAGGATCACAAATCCAGCGTGCTGTCCGCTCGGCCGACCGGCTCCCATCATACAGTATTTTATACAATAAATATTTATTTTATTGAATTTGGTCCCAATCACTTAGGTATTACAGTTCCATAGATTGTCTCTAGGCAACCTACTCGACCACTTGGACTGGATGGTAGAGCGACGGTCTCGCTTCCTGCAGGTTGGCGTTCAATTCTCAACCCTCAAAGTAGTTGGGCATCATCCCCCCCCCCCTTCCTATCCCAAATTCTTATCCTGATCCCTTCCAAGTGCTATATAGTAGTAATGGCTTGGCACTTTCCCCCTGATAATTCCATTCCCTCTAGGCTTTTGATTCACCCACATCCCACATCCTCTCTCCCTCCCTCCCTCTGCCCTCCCTCCGTCCCTCCTTCATCCTTCCTCTGCCCTCCCTCATCTTCCCTCCCTCTTCTGTCCTCCCTCTTTAAGCATCAACATCCTCCATATTTTTAAGCAATTAAATCATAATTCTGTTAAGTATTGAACTTTTATTTGAGCTTCATAAATATTTTTAAATTGCAGATATTAGAACCTGAATCCAAAGATATTGATGGAATAGATGTCAACAGTGAAGATGGGTGTGATTTAGACTTGGTGGATCAGATGGCCAATATGAGTCTGCAGAGCGCAAGCCACATGGATAATAGAGCAGAGGAGGATGCCCTTACCATGGATAACCCTGTCTTTCAGCAAACAAAAGTTAGCTCAAAGGTGAGAGTAGAATGATTACCATGGTTGGTGTAACATGGGGAATTTCATTTACACATAATGGCATAGTAATGCTTGTAGTCAGGTGTTAATACTTTTCCTTCTCAAAGGTTGTGTGTTGCCGAGTCAACAACTCGTGCACTATGCTTGCATCAGATTTTGTTTCATCATCAGATTTTAATACCAAGAATTTTCCTTCCTTAACCCTTGATTAGGGTTAACATCATACATTTATTTGGGGTAATGCAGCTGTATGTATATTTGTCATTAACCAGTTTTAATACAAATGTAAATACTGTATGGTTATAATACATTAATATGGATGTAATGGTTAACCTAGGTACATGAACATATAATACATTGTAGGCCTCTATATACAATACATGATCACTATTTTTGTCAGTTGTGTAACGAGTCATTTAACACAATAGATTAAAGTGAAACGGTGAACAAATAAACCATCTTACTTGAACATTGCTGCCTTTGCCCCTCCATGTTGAGTCAGGTCATTGTAGCACCACGAGGCCGTCCACCCACTGACACTCACACACGGCTTCATCTTGATGTGCACAAAACTAAAAATGATTGATATTTATATTTTTCCCTCTTCCTTACTTTTTGTACGCAAATGTAGCATTTTATATGAGTGAACCAGGGAACAAGTTGTTGTTGTTTAATGGTGAATGTTTAAAATGTATGAATATGAAAACTCGCTCACTGGCTATTTTATATATAAAGTTCCATATAAAGTATATGGCATATAAAGCAGTTTGTTGTTGCTGTTGGAAGCTGTGTGTGTTTTTTAATTAGTTTTAAAATGGAAGAGTGAATGGATGGGTGTCATTTTGATTATTTTTTTGGTGCTGCTTAACTGTTTTCCTCTGGTTAATAAATCCCCACCTCATGATAAAAGGGAAATAGTTATTGAATTGTTATTTACCATTACAGTATTTAACATGAACAGATTCTTTACTGATTAAAATTTCAGGTGGCAATTTTTTTTCTCGCTTGAAATCATTTGCAGGGCTGATGATGTTATAATTTTATGAATGTGTATTATATAGCTGCAGATAATTATATATTATTTTTGTTCTTCAATCAGATTATGCAACTCATTGAGGAACTTGAGAAAATCCATTCTCTGGAGACAGTGGAAAAGTCCGTCATAGTGTCCCAGTGGACATCAATGTTAGACATTGTACGTGATCATCTAGAGAATGTTGGTATCCAGTGCTGCACTATATCTGGGAAAGTTCTTGTTAAAAATCGTGGTGACATTGTTGAAGATTTCAACTGTAATCCAGAAGGGGCACAGGTATGTTATACATGTAATGAAAACCAGTAGTTAATATAGTGAAAACCCGTAGTTTATATAGTGAAAACCTGTAGTTTATATAGTGAAAACCGGTAGTTTATATAGTGAAAACCTGTAGTTTATATAGTGAAAACCATGCAGTTTCTATGTGCTGCATTGTTGCCTCTCTCTACTTTCCATGTACAGTTGCATAATTACCTCTTGACTTTCCATGTATTTGATAAGACTATTTCCATCTTATTTTGTAACATAAGAATGCTGGATCAACCGGGTCATAGCAGATTTGTGGGCCTGCGGGCCACTCCAAACAATGGCTTTTTCCACCATGTTGGCTTGGGGGAGTAGAACAAACTCCCAGAACCCACCCCAAGTATACTCCAGGTGTAGTATGCTGTTATTACTTGTGTATATAGTGGTCCCTTACTCAGACTATTATAAATATAAAATAGTTTGAGTAAGGTGCTACTATATACATCATTAATAATAAAACATACTGCACCTGGGGTGTTAATTGATATTGTTCCTGTTCAGTTTACCACGGGAAAAATGTTTTGGTATACTGTACGTAGGCAGTGTAATGCGCTATAATGTATTTTAAATATACCGGGTACTTTAAAATAGGGAAATTATTAGAAACATTATACTTTACAAACAAGCAAATTAATCCGTTCTTAATATATGTAGGTAGAATGCAATTATACTCTGCTGTAGTGCTGCATGCAATACAAAACCTGCTGTAATACTGTAGTGTATAAGTCGCATTATGGTGCTGCGTGAAGCTTTTACTGTACGTGTGCCCTCGTCTAAATGCTTATACTGTACTGTACTTTGATTTTTTGTCCTTTTTTCTTCTGAACCATTACCACAGGATCTTTTCTCCTAGGCTTATTTACTTTATTCAGTCTATTTTGGCATTTCTTCCATGTTAACCTTTTGTTTTTCCTGCCTGATTACACACAATGTTAGGCAGGTTTTTAACTCATAATGAAGTAACCAAATATAAATGGATACAAATCAGAGTACCAATAGGGCTTTGAGTACCAAAGATTAAAAGTCCCACAAACAAGGTGGATAATGACTGGATAACCCAAATGTTTGTGTTAGTTGGGTTCTGATAACATGTAAATATATAACACAGTATTTTCTCAATCATTATTTTATGCTTGACCACCCTGCCTTTGGTCTTCCACAATTTATCCTATTCCCTACTTCTCTGGAGATTACTGTATTGTAGTCCTAAATCCTAATTAGTAGTTGAAGTTCCAATTCATTTACAGTTTTCTCATAAGACGGTTAAATAAATTAGATATCAAACAGGAGATTTCAATGGGGACAGAAAGCTGCCAACACTATTTTTTGCCTGCTGCTTAATTCTTGTATATCTTTACAGCTTTTGAGGTGTTGCAATAGTTACTACAGAAGCTGAGATTAAGTTCAGATTATGAGGTTGTGGGGGGCAATTTTATATATTGCGTACAACCTCTACAATTGCTACAAAATACCACTACCCCTTTGTGTTCATTAGCCACTTCATTGCCTTGACCTGGCCTACACATTACACTCCCAGAACTCTGCATACCTACCGTATTAATTACACCACCCTGTTCATACCCTAACATACATCATCGAGGTATCGAGGTCCACTGTATGTCTTTGGTTGCCTTGTGCAATCAAAATGTATCCAGTTACTTTAAAATTTTGTTTCAGGTTATGCTGCTGTCTCTGGCTGCTGGGGGAGTTGGGCTAAATTTAGTTGGTGCCAACCACCTGTTTTTGTTAGATCTGCACTGGAACCCCCAACTGGAATCTCAAGCCTGTGACCGTATTTACAGAGTTGGTCAGAAGAAGTCCGTCATTATACATAGGTAAGTGACGTTGGTTAATGAGTTCATAAAAACTGAGAAGCTGGATGTATGGCTTGCTTTCTTGGTATGTTCATTACAATATTAGACAATATTCAATATTTTTACATAGTCATACTAATATGAGAGGGCAGCGTAGGGATATGATCACTATACAATCTACTGATAAGGAACAAATAAGATGGACCAGATCAGTTTCTAAAATGAGAAAATAGGACAAGAGGACATTCGGGTGATTGTCAAAGTCAAAGAAATTAAAGAAAATATTTGTACTCTATGAATGATCAAGTGGAATGCATTGAAGTTATTGTGGAAGCCACCACCCTCCAAAATTTTGGGAGCAGATACAATAAAAACTTCAAAAGTCAAGAAACGAAAATGTACAAAGTACAAAATGACAGTGGGCAATAAAGTGCTAGAAATTACTTGCAGGGGGCAAATGGTACTCTTGTGGCAGACCCGTTGCAGATCGCTACCGAACTGGGTTCCCACTTTTCTTCTGTTAGCTCTGGTTTTCGTCTTCCTCAATTTTTCCTTCTTCGTAAACCTGTCCTTGAGTCTCGTCCTTTAGATTTCTGCACTCGTCTTCGACTTCCCTATAACGATCCTTTCTCTCTCTGAACTTTGGTCTGCCCTGGCCCTCTGCGGTTCTACGGCGGCAGGCTCCAATGGCATTCATTATGAGATGCTTCGTTATCTACCTCCATGCACGTCTTGGTATTTACTGAGTCTGTATAATCTGGGAGTCGTCGTCAGTCCCTGAGGACTGGCTCGATGCCGTTGTCCTCTCTGTTCGCAAACCAGGGTCTCTGGGAACATCTCCTAAGGACTTTCGCCCTATTGCCCTCACGAGTTGTGTCTGCAAACTCTTTGAACGTATGGTTAACGTTCGTCTGATGTGGTTCTTAGAATGGTATGAGGTATGTATTTTGCATACTCTTATAACCAGTTGAAAAGGAGATAGAGCAACTCTTGACTCCGCAATACAGTTGTTCTCCCCCCCCTCCCCCAGTTCCGAACCTGCGAGTTACATACCATGGACAGTATATATGAGCATTTTGGTAACATATTTAAAACAGGAACAACTTAAAAATCAAGAAACTGCTTGTTCTCAACCATTGCAGGCTTTTTAATTGTTCAGGTAATATAGCAATCATAATGATTATAGATTATTTGATATGACAGTACAAGTTACTGGGGATTCCTTTCTTAGTTGTTAGCAGTAGAATCCTCTCTAGATACCAAGTAACTGTACTGGGTAATAGTGTGAGAGTTTGGAATAAATGTTACCAACACTAAGTGTTGCAGTAAGGAAAAATACTGCAAGTTTACTGTGATATGACAGTGACAAATTTTGCTTTCTATTTCAGATTTATAATTGAAAACACCATTGAGGAAAAAATAATCCAGCTTCAACAAGAGAAGCTGCAACTTGCTGATGATATTTTGTCAGGTGCTAATCAATCGAAGCAAAATATCTTGTCGTTGAATGACATGAAGAAATTGTTCAATTTAGCTTAAACAATTTTTGTAAAGTTATTAAAATAAAAAAAAAATTGGTATAAAAGTGTAGGCGAGAGGTGGTGGTGGGAGCGTGTAGAGCGGGACTCGTGTCCTGAAGAACAAAGCAGCTTGGGCCGAGACGTGTGTCGTCTTTCTGCTCTGTTCACTATTGAGTTAAGATATATTGTATATTTCAAGTGCCTTCAAATATCTTTTTTATCAACATTTAATAAAATTATCTGCTTTTTTAAATTTTACAGAATGGTTTTAGTCAATAGTTGAACTGTACATACATAGTAAAATACATAAACATATTATCTATCGTTTTCTGTGATACAGTGTGTTCTCAATCGTTAGGTACAATAAAGTTTTATACAGTTTTGATATACAGTACTGTACCTGTATTTTATATTTCATGTCTTCATATATCTTTATTTTGTGCCAGACTTGTTTATTTTAAATTTAATAAAATTTAATTAGATTAGGTTCTTTTTATCACCAGTTTTGGTTAATAACTGGACTGTTCATAATAAAATCTAAAACACTATTGTTTCTTTGATACTGTGCTGTATCATTAGGTACACAAATGCTGTCATATAGTATGCTGTCATTAAGTTCATTGGCATCCTTATTCAACATCAAAAATTGGTGAAATTTTACAAGGGCGCATAGCTATTGTATGTGCCACATAAATTTGGATGAGCTTTTTAATACAATAAAAAGTTCTTATACGGAACATTGTGTAATCGTGGCATCAAGTGGAAATATTCTTCGCCCATCGCAAATATACACTTAATGCATTATCAGAAACGTTAGATCCCCAGTTACGTTGTGTGGCCATTCTGGCTTTGTTGGAAGCCAGCACAACAGCATAAAGGCAGAATGAATTACAGTATTACTGCCTCTACAACAAACACGTTTGTCCAACACCCAACAATTTCATATGAACGTGTTAACACACTTCCCTTAAGTAAATTAACTTCATGATTAGAGATGAATTGTAGTATACTGCAATAGTGACTTCATTTTGCCACTCATTGGGTATTCGGTGTGTAAAAAAAAAAAAAAAAAAAAAAAAAAAATTAATGCAATTCGGTAGGACAAAATTAAACGTAAGAAGACAAGGTTTCATACTTAAAAACAGACGTGATAAACGTACCTGTAATATTACTTCTTTTAATTTTCATGTTTCTAATTACTGCATTAAATATGCCATATGAAACCACGGAGAAGTTTTTTTTTTTACGTTTGATAAGATGACAGTATACATTGTATGGACTTCAAAATTTGGTAAGAAATATTTTATACAGAAGCATGGATATTATTTAATTTTGATTCCTAGTTTGTATGTTGCAGTGCAAATTTGCAGTTGCTTATAGAGGTTTTTCTATGTAGTCTTTAAGGGGGCATCTGGTTGGCATCTGGGTCCAAAAATGCAAAAATGAAAACTCATTTGATTTCAATCAAACTTCTTTGACAAGTTCTATATGAAAAGTTTCATCTGGTCCAAGTTTCAGCATTGTAGCATAAATAGGAAGGGAGAAAAAAAATATTGAAGTAGTTGTGAAAATTATACAAAAATGGTCAAAATCGATTATCAATCAAAAGTGTCAACTGAAATCATAACTACGACTCTTTGCTATCACAATAGCATATATTAAACAAATATTATAATTAGTTTAATTGGAAAAAAAAAATTTAAGGAAAAAAAAAAAAGGCTTTTTTTTTCTTTTCTTTTTTTAAATATATTTTTTTTTCCATTTTTTTTTTTTGGGCGATTTGCATCAAACTTACACACCTGACTGTACGTAAGCCTATCTGTAAGGATGCCAATTTTGGAGAAAATTGGTTGATGTCAACCCCAGCCATAGATATTAGAACCTTAGACTTTATTCATTTCTGTTTTTTTTTCAATTGACACAAACGTTTACAAAACTGATTCCTTTTTTATTCAATTTACATGAAACTTACACAGTATATGTGGAGGGCATGTCTCTACATTGGGGGGCTTTCATTTTTCTCTAAGTTCATTTATTGATTTTATAATAGCAATAAACATGCCATATTTGCAAAAAAATTTTGGGGAACTTTGAACATTTGTATTAGGAAAACTAAAGATGTTTTGGAAATTCTAAACCCTCAAATCCTTTATTATATGCTAATGTGTCAGAAAAGTGTCACAGAATAATTATATCTGAAATGTGTGTTCTGAAGTGTGGACTTGAAAATGTGTAAAAAAACATTCAAAAAAAAAAAAAAAAAAAACTTTCTATTTACGCTGCAGTACTGAAACTTGGGACAATTTAAGCACTTTTCATATACAACTAGAAAATTAATATTGGTTGACATTGAACAACTTTCATTATAATAACCAGACGGCCCCTTAAGTGGAAGCTCTTCCTGATAAAGACCACTTGCTGCTAGATCAGAGCTAACTGCCTGCAAGTTTCTCTCTACCTGTGTGCCGTGTCCTCTCATATGGTGCACACCATACTTCCCAAGAGGATCCCACTTGTTACATTTTGTAAAGGCATTTAATTCAAGACATTTGAGAGCAAGCCCCACCATACCAGTTAGCTTGGTGTAGACTTACTCCCCCCAACTGTTGTGAAATACCTTTTTCTTACTGTACTGGCACTCACTTGCTACTACTGTGTTTACTGATGGAGCTGGCTTCTAGGTTATTTTTCCCAATAGAATCATAATGTCAACTTCCCACAGGAAAGAGTACTTTATTTTTACATTAATTTTTTATATTTTATACATTCTAAGAGGAACGTTTGTCAACATTCACTTGATATTGTAGTTAACTCTTGCAATGCTTCCATGGCCCTAGAGCCTTTTTAACACTTCACATCATATGGCGATCAAAATTTAACACTGGCAGTTCCTCGGCAGGTCTAATTTTGCTGGATTCCCAGCCATTCATGTGTCAAGTTTCCTAGGATCAAATTCCGTACTCGGATCTGTCGTCATTCATAATGCAATCGGCATCCGCTGGAGAGATGGTTAGCTATTCTGAATAACTGGGACTGGAAAAAAGTCTTCGGCTAGGCATGCGCCTTGTAAAATATCCTCATTTTCAGGATGAGAAATTTTGCTTTACCAGTCCTGTGTGCTTCAATAAAATCCTTGGCAAATCTGACTTCTGACATTACTCACAATTTTTTATTCTCATACAGCATTGTGAACATTAAAAACATTTTAATATTCTGTGAAACAGGTGGTTCTATACAGCCATCTGGACTTGGCATCTTTTTTTAATACTGTTCATGCATCATGGTTTTAATATTTGATCCCACACATCTATCCATGGTACAGTACTTTGTACAATGAGAATTTTGTCTTAACATATGAAATAATCAAGTCTAGTGCACACACTGATTTTCTTGTATATACAAAACCAGTTATTTTTTTGTTAGGCTACAAGAAACCAGAATCAAACTGTTAATGAAAAATATCTGGAAAAATAAAAATTTTAGTACAACAACTTTGTCATTTATAAATTAACCTTATTATTTCTTTATTCAATATACAATAAACAAAGCATATTATGAGGCAAGTATCTAAGATAAAACAATGGTAATATTTCCTAAAATCATATTGCATCTCTCAAACTGCACTAGATGTTGCATTCCTAAATCTAGCAATATATAACATTAGAATCCTTTCATTTCTTTCCTTGCAAACTTAGCCTAAATGACTACAGTATTATGAACAAGAGAAGATTTGGCAACGGTGACTGGTCGATTGGGCACTGTGGGGGGACAATGGAATCATTACAGTCTATTGAGAATTGGTGTTTTTGAAGCAGTCTTATCATTTGAGAACCGGAATCCTAGTCCCTTCACAGTTCATAAGCAAACATGGAAAAATGAGCTTTTATTGAAAAATTGAGTATCAAGTGCCATTATGATTTATAAGTACATAATATCATTTAAAATTTCCTTAGCACATGTTAAGGAAAAAAAATTAACTCATTTAACCATGATATTTCAAGAATCTATGTCTTTAATCAATATCTATCTACACAAGAGCAACAAATGGTTTACAAATATTTCTATATTCCTGCCATCTGCATTTCTTACCAGATACACTGCACTCATATTGCAAGAGTTCTCTGGCAACATGAATAGATTAAACTCGTCATACAGCTTAAATTCTCTTGCTGACTGTTCATTAGTTTTGATCACTGATACTTTATTATTTTCCCTGAGTGATCAATGTAGTATTACTGAATGTCTAACCAAAGTTTTCATCCATTTATTTCACACTTTAAACTTTGTCCTCATCAACTCACAAATGGGATAATACAATTCAAATGTTATTTTTTCTGTAATACAGTATACTGTACTGTAGTTTTCACAATACTTAATGCAATAGAACCTTGGCAATACATTTAACTGTTATAAATAAGTAAAATGATATTTGAGATATTTTGAAGTTAAGGATAATAATGTTATTTCAAAAGAAAATACAGGTGCAGTATTGCTATTTACACACAAAGTTACAGGTGTGGGTTGAAAAGTAATCAAATGAAATTACTGTAGTTTAACAAAGTCTGGCAAAACTGGAAACCAAATGGCTGGTTTAAATGTCAGTGGTATGGAAGTTGTACCACAATTGCTGTGCCAGCTGCTGCACTGCAATGATTACCCAGGCTGCCAGCTGCTGCACTGTGATGATCATCACATTTGCCAGCTGCTGCACTGTGATGATCATCACATCTGCCAGCTGCTGCACTGCAATGATCACCCAGGCTGCCAGCTGCTGCACTGTGATGATCATCACATTTGCCAGCTGCTGCACTGTGATGATCATCACATCTGCCAGCTGCTGCACTGCAATGATCACCACATCTGCCAGCTGCTGCACTGCAATGATCACCCAGGCTGCCAGCTGCTGCACTGCAATGATCACATCTGCCAGCTGCTGCACTGTGATGATCACCACATCTGCCAGCTGCTGCACTGCAATGATCACCACATCTGCCAGCTGCTGCACTGCAATGATCACCACATCTGCCAGCTGCTGCACTGCAATGATCACCCAGGCTGCCAGCTGCTGCACTGCAATGATCACATCTGCCAGCTGCTGCACTGCAATGATCAGCCAGGCTGCCAGCTGCTGCACTGCAATGATCACCACATCTGCCAGCTGCTGCACTGCAATGACCACATCTGCCAGCTGTTGCACTGCAATGATCACCACATCTGCCAGCTGCTGCACTGCAATGATCACCACATCTGCCAGCTGCTGCACTGTGATGATCAAGTCTGTTGCATCACGATGATCACCAAGTTTGCCAACTGTTCTGAGGGTCTTTGTCGGCATCGTTAAAATTCTATACTGTACTGTATTTACAGATTTTTTTTATAGTTATCCAAGAATCGACCACCACCAGTCAATGTTGCGAGGTTTGTTAAATATATTTCTCGGCTTCCACATAACCAATTTTACCACCGTGTTCTTTGACAAAGTAAGTTATGAGTTTTAGTAAATAAGCATTTTTATTTTTTCTATATTAATTTCCACTGGCTGTCTTTACAAATACTTATTGTAATTTAAAATTCTTTTATGTAATTAAAAAAATTACCTCCAGTTATAATTTTAATTTATATAATTGCAAAGAATTATGAGTACAGTATGAGAGGAAGTGATTGTGATACTTAGGGTGTCTAGCACTGAAGCATTTATAAATGCAAAATTCTTAGCAGTATGCAACTTTTTTACATATACGCTGCAAAATGTAAGAAAGCAAATCAAATGTTTTAAACATTAATCCGACTGCATCAGTTAGATCCATTTATTGCTGGACAATTTTCAGGATCAACTGAATGAATTGATTCGTGTGGTTTTGTGCTAGCATTTTGCCTTTCCTGATACAAAACTCATAGACAATAAAACTTCATTTATGTAATTTTCCTCCACATTATGTAAAAATGAGACCACTAGCTGCTGTTGTCATCTGGCAGGAATGTTGCCCATATTGACTTGTCCTCATCTTTCCTCTGCAGGAAAATAAACCATATCCTCGCCTCGCAAACAAGGAACCTAGGTTTAATCCCAGTGTAGGACAAATGGTTGGGCACATTTCTTTCCTTCTGATGCCTCTGTTTACCTAGCAGTAAATAGGTATCTTAGAAGTTACTCCAGTGGGTCTTTTTGGTGGCTTTAACATCAACTGTCACCAGTGGATGACATTAAGGGGAACACACATGCCCAGTGGGTAGTGAGCTGTTGTGGGTTACATCCTGGAGTAGTTGACCTAGAGGGACTTCAACAAGACTAAGTATACCATATACTTATTGTACTTAATCATATCTAGTAAGCTCCTGATGTGTTAAAGGGACAGAAGCAAAGATATTTTTGCTAGAGTGCTTCAGAGGCTTCTTGTATTATACCTAATGGTAAATTTTATTAGTAAAGAACTGCAGCAATAACCTAAACTGTTTTCATGAACAGTTTCTGATTGGATACAGTTTAACAATTTTTACAAATGATCATTATTTCCTTAAGGAAATGGGGCAAGTTTAGATTCATTATTCTAGAGTTTACAATCCTCTCACAAATTAATGACATCAGTAACCTTGGAATATGTGTTAGTGTACACGAGTCACTGTTAAATATTGACATGGACCGAGGACCAGATCAGTAGACATTGTTGCATGCTCTTTCACACAATTTCAAGCAATTTCCTTGGCTTGGATCATGTACCTGTGCTGTACATTATTTAAATGTGTTTCAAGTAAGTTTGGGTTAATATTTAATGATAAAACATATGGTATATAACATTATATACAATTAATGTAAAGATAGTATGTACTTTTTAGGTTCTACTGTACTGTATACTGCAGAATTGCAATTTACAATATTTTTTGGCATGATAAAATAAAGTGAGTGACCTAAATGATGGCAACAACATGGGGAAGCGTTAACGAGTCATGTAATGGAACAGCTTTGTTAAGCGATGACTCGTGGTGATGGCAGAAATATTTGTAAAGCATTGAACACTGCCAGAGCTGTAAGGCAGACTATATGTAAGCACTGAGCAACCAGGATAATCAAATAAAAATATAAAAATAGAGATCCCTGAAACTGGAATTCTGGGATTAATGTAATAAAACAAATCTGGTAGTGATGTAATGTAACCTGTGAAATCCTGATATAGCCTCCCTTACAGCTGCAATATTAAAAGTCTATAATAAAATTGGTCCGCTCAAAGAAAATTAAATAAGAAGGTTGTCATGACTGGCAAAGAGATCCTTAGAATGATCTCTGGAGGAAACAGTCCACTTTCCTTTTCATTAAAACTAGAAAGCAACAGCCTGAGTGTCCAAATATTATGATAGGTTGCTAGATTGTTCTCCCAACAACTTTGGGTCAACTAACATTCTTTATACAAATGTTAACATTAAGTATGCAATAGATCTAATTACAAGTTAGTCTCACATCTGCTTGTGATGTAAAATTGTCTTTTCAGTGTAATACTAGTCAACAGGATTATAAATTGCTTTTGGATAAAATCACTTTTCAAACATTTCATTAAAATAAAATAGATTATACAAAGACCAGCCCTTGTCATTCAAGTGTTTGTCACTTTATATCTCCAGAATTATCCATAATTTATCTGCTTAATGTCTAATTAATTCATATGATCATTAGCTCTGGTTTAAAAAAGAAGCGATATGCACATACGGTAAGTAAATGCAATATGGTAGCACCTTTTCGTTCAATGGACTATTGTGACGGTTTGATTGTTCACTCATAACCTTGCCCTGTGTCGTCCACAATTTACAGATAGTTATGATTTTGTTCGGCACTCGCTAACCCCCAAGTACTCGGTTCTTACAGCACTTAAAAACATGATTTTTCAACATTATTACCGGTATTAACATGCGAAAATAGTTTTATATTTATGGATAAAAGCAATACAGATTGAAGGTTTCCTTTGGCTTGGTAAATTTCTAAATGTTGAAAATGTAATTATTATCTTGTGCTTTCTCATAATAACCTGACTTAGCCTTGCCATGATTTACATTTTATTTGCAAATACACAACCTTCATGCTAATGTGAAGTAGCATGAACTCTCTCTAACAATATGCTGAACTTTTAGGTAAATATTCAGAATTTAAGTAATTTTCCTCATATCTTGTGCACTTTGAATTTATAAAGATTTGTCTTATTTATATCTTGATATAAATAAGACAAATATATTAAGAAAAGATATTATTATTTCCACTGTATATTGAAGTGTTTTATATATCATGAACTAATCAAGTTTTTGGAAGTGCTGTAAGAACTTTTAGAAATCACACTTTGAAGGAAGCTTGCATTTCCACAGTGTCATTCCTTGGCTGGATTTTTTGCTGATAAAAAGAAATAAAAAATATGATAACCAGACTCGGTGAGGTATACATTTTTTTCAGCAGACTTGATGTGGACTTGGTTCTATTGAATTCCTCATGGAAATAATATTGACAAACTCACTGTAGCTTTGATGTAAACTTCATTCAATGACAATCACCCACACTCTTTTTTTTTTTTTTTTAAACAAAATGCAAATCTATAACAGTGATAACCATCCAGCTTCAATGTACATGTAATGTAAACGAGTGACAAGAATGGTTATCCACTCTCACTCATTACTTGATACCGAAGTATCTTGATGTTAATCCATATACTGGATATTTGGCATAAACTTTCAACAACAATGAGAGTCCTCTCTCATGGAACACCTGGGAAACAATTTGTAGCCGGCAAATTAGCCATACATTCACTGTAGACTTGGCATGGAATTGTGATAGTGAAAGGTACCAACTCTCACAAGAAACTAGTGTGCAACAGTGACGGACGACCACTCTCACTGAAGATTTGGTATGGACTTGAGACAGTGACTGACATCAAGTGTCACTGGAGAGGTGATTGGACTTTACAGTGATTTCCACTTCCTCTGGAGATGCGGACTTGCGATAATGATGGATGTCCACCCATGTTTGATGTGGAGATCAGAAAGTGGTGAACACCCATGTGCACTGTACTCCCAGTGCACACCTGTGATACAGATGACCACCAACTTCTACTGGAAGCTTGAAGTGGACTTGTGATCTAGCTAACTGTTTGCTCCAATGTTGAGTGTAGACAGCTTGGGTATCATAAATGACTTCCCAGTCTGAAATGCCCAAGATATATGAGTATTATGCCATTTATTATTTATTCATAGCATTCCTAATTTCATAAGCTGTATACAAATAAAATTGTCGTGTTTATAAATATCACAGGTTTGGATATTTCATAAATAATGCAAAAAATATCCCAATAGTACTAATCATGTACTATTACAGTATATGGAATTTAGAATAGCATCACACATTCAAATTTATAGTTAAATTTATTCATTCTTTGACAGTTTTCTTAAAATCATGAAAATAATAGTGTACTATAAGCCTACAGTATTTCTTAGTTGCAACTTCAAAACCATCTAAATCTACAACAATAAGCTTTTATTGTTAATATGAATTTGTTCAAATTAAACTGCAATTTATTATGCTATAGCTGAAGATATAGTATATCTATAATTATAATTGATGCTGCCCTTTGATAATACACCCAAATATTAAATGAAGTGTTTACTAACATACCAGGCTAAGTGCCACTGTGGCCAAAATTTAGGTAACTGTACCAATGTATTCCTCCAATTATTTTGTTGGGTCATCTTTACCAAGAATATAAATACTCATAGGGCTGAAAATCTCATTAAATCTTGACATGCATCCTGGTCCCCAGAAGCTTAAACAGGCCAAACTCAACGACTTTTATGCCATCTTGCCATGTACACCTACCGAGTACGCGCAATACTTCCACCAGCTTGTCCAATGCCAAGCTGCACATGTTCGAATACAAGAAGATCAGAGAGAAGTCAACAATGACCTGCTGGATTATGACCAATGACTGTCTCCTATATGTAAGTGTTAATTTTATTTTCCTTTTTTTACAAGCTTAGTGGCTTTACCATAGTTTTTGTGGGGAGCCCCTCTGGCTCCCTGGAGCTATTGGACTGATATACACTATATTAATCTGGGGCATCAGTCAAAAGTTCAGCCTACCGGGGACCTCGAGCCAGAACCTGGCCCCCTTAGAGAGGCACAGGGAGCAATGGCCTATGGCTAAACCCCCCCATGTGTTAGCAATGGCCTAAACCCCCCAATGTGTTTGGGAGCATTCCATGTCTGCCATCAACCAGGGTTAGGCACCTAGAAAGGTAGGCATGAAAAAACATACCCCACTTGGTAAGAAATTGCAACCGAAGACCGAACAGAGGCAGAACTCCCCATAACCTAAAGAAACAAGCAAACGTCATACATCGCCCCCACACCGCTCGTCCGAGCAGCCCTCCTCTCCCCAGGAGGGGGAGGAGGGAGTGCCAGATTCCCCCCTCCCCCATGACAGCTACTCGTACCTCAGTTTGTAGGCTTATGCACTCTGGGGTGGTCACCAATTCTGGCCTCGATTTCTTGGCAGATTTTGTGCCTACGTGGTGTTTTCTGCTATTTGTAGTGCAGTGATCAGGAGTAACTATAGTGTACTGGGGCTGCATGCGCTTAAGGCTACCTTCCCTAGGGACCCTGTAAGTACTACCCTTGGGTTCTAGGGTTACCTTGCATAGAGCCTGCGGGACTCAACTTCCGTAGGGGTTCTTGCTGCTTAGCATTTACCCTGCCCTTGGGGCCAGCTGGGGTTTCATGGCCTTTGTTTGGCCTTGGGTAGAAAGTAGTGGTGTTGCTGGTTGGGGTGCAAGGTGCTGCACTGCTTGCTTACCTAAGCGGCAGCCATGTTCCTGTTCCTTCTGGTGGCATGGTACTTTTGCGGCGTTTTTCTTTTATTTTTGTTTTTCTTGCCAGGAGGGGGGATCTGCCTTGTTTGGCTATTAGACCACATAGGGTATATTGGTGGCCCTCCTCTAGGCCCCCGTGCTTGTACACGTCACAGGTCACAGGGGATTCGGTTAATACAGTAGCTCTTCCTAACCTTTCGGCATCTTTGATGGCTGAGGACTTACATGCTCACGGGCATTTGGCCTCGTGTCAACCCAACATGTCTTGAGTTGACATTTGGGCATGGGGTTTTTGGCAGTCAAACAGGTTCATGGCTGCCCGCTACCTTGCTAATGTTCCTTGGCCTAGTCGGGCCTGTGTCGCTTTGGGTCGGCGGTTGCAGCCTGTTGTCTCGCCTTCGAGTTGAGGTGCGAGCACCGACCGCCTCTCAGGTAACACACACTATATTTTGTCTATGGTGATGTAGCTCTGGGGAGCCGAAGGGAGCTTCCCCCAGAAAACCAGTGTTGACTGTAATGAAATGCCATTTTCTGGGTGAGACCCAGAGGCTCCCTGGCACCCCCCTCCCCCATCCCTCCAGTCGGCGGCGATATTTTGCATGTTTTGACATCCAGCCTTGAACTGGTGGGTGGATCGCCGGCGCAGTGGTTCTGGGACTCCTCCTTTCCCCTCCAGGGGAGGGGGAAGGTGCACAGACATGCGGCGCGGCTCGTGTGACGTCATGCCCATTTGCTCATTTTCAGTTGGGGAGTTCTGTCCACTCGTTTGTCTATTTTAGTTGCTTTAACCAGAATAGGGGTTTGTTTTGAGGTGCTTACTTTTCTGTGTGCTTGGCCTGGTCGATGGCAGACACAGAAAACTCCAATCCCATGTGCATATATATCTTTAGGCCATTGCTCTGGGGGGGCAAGGTTCTGGCTCATGGTCCCCAGTAGGCCTAGAATTCCATACACACTGACTGATGCCAAAGTCTAATGATATACATATCAGCCTGGATAGCTCCAGGGAGTCTCTGGGTCTCGCCCACAAATGTTTCATTACATTCAATGCTGGTTTTTTGCATTATTACTCACTGAGTTGATGTCACTTGGTGTGCGATTGTAATCTGAGAATAATGGAGTCCATTTTCTTTTTCAAAAAGCTTTTGACTTATTAATTTAACTATGCTAGCATGGAAGTATATACTTTAAGTTACAGTTGAAAATAATAATCACCTGAAAAACATTTCTGGTTACAGAGATATGGCATTTTGAAAGAAATGAAACTTGAACTGAAATATTTTTTATGGTGCTTAACTAGGTATGCTAGTAAATGCCTCAAATATGATGGATAATTTTGTTAATTACTTGTTCCTTGTATCTAGTGATTACATAAATGTAGATGTATGAAGCCTAATACAGGCATATCAAAATAATTATATTTTTTATTTATTTATATATACTGTGGTACCTCCACCTACGAATCTAATCCGTTCCCAGAGATGGGTCGTAACTTGAAAATTTGTAACTCAAAACAAATTTTCCCATAAGAAACAACGTAAATTGAATTCATCCGTTCCACACCCCCAAAAATATTAACTCAAAAATACATTTTATACCGAATACCACTCTTTCTGTGAAGAGCCCCTTCGACTCCCCGGAGCTATACCGGCCTGATGTGTGTGTATATTAGACCATGGCAACAGTCAAGCGAAGGAGTTCTAGGCCTACTGGGGACCAGAGCCAGAACCTGGCCCCCTCAAGAGAGGGGGGGGGGCCAGTTTTGATTGGGGAGTTCTGTTGCTAGTTCGGCTTTCGGTTTGCAAATCAGCAGTAATTTGTTTTGGAATTCCTACCTTTCTGGGTGCCTGATGGGGAGATTGCAGACAAAGACTGCTTCCAATTACACAGGGGTGGTCTTTAGGCCATTGCTCCTTGTGCCTCTCTCAAGGGGGGCCAGGTTCTGGCTCTGGTCCCTGGTAGGCCTAAAACTCCTTCGACTGACACTTGCCACAATCTAATATATACATATCAGCTCGGTATAGCTCCGGGGAGCCTCCGGGTCTCGCCCAGAAAATGGCGTTTCATTACATTCAACGCTGGTTTTTTGTATTAGCTACAATACATTATTTATATCTTATTTTTATTGAGGACTCTTGTTTGTGTATGGAAGACAGTGAGGAGGGGGAAAGAAGGAGAGGTGTTACTGTTTGGAAGGGGGAGTCCCACTTCCATTATAACATCAGCAGTGATGACTTCTCTGGGGTACTCTCTCTCTCTCTCTCCTACATTTTGCCTGCATACCACTAGGACCTGGTTGTGGTTCACTGCTTGTTTGTTTCACTAAGAACCTCTCCATAGAGACCTTTTTCCCTACATTTTAACATTTGTCTGTAGTGAGACATCACATTCATTCACTATGAACGATCTCTTGTTTTTTCTCTATAATCATCCTCACGTGTTTTCTTAGGTAGAACCTTACCACTGACTTTCTTGGGACCCATGGCGTGATATATAATTACCTTTATGTTCAAAAAACAAAAGAAGCACAAAAACAATGAAATTCTTTACAAACGTGATCGTCACTTAGTGGGTGGCTCTAGTAAACTGAGGTGGGGTCGCCAGTGCCACCAGGAACCATGCGTCACTTGACCCATACGTGTATCAACAAAGTCACAAGTCGAGGCCAAGGTTGTAAGTCGAGTAAAATTTTCCAACAAAATTGGGGTTGTAACCCGAAACATTCGTAAGTAGGGGCATTCGTAAGTTAAGGTTCCACTGTACAAGATATCTTACATTCTTCTACAGCCACTAGTTTGCATAGCATTTCATACAAGTCCTGAATCCTAATTTTCACACACACATATCCCCAGGAAGCAGCCCATAATAGTTGTCTAATTCCCAGGTACCTATTTACTGCTAGGTGAACAAGGGTATCAACGTGAAAGAAACTCTGCCCCATTTGTTTCCACTTCCGCTGGGGATCGAACCTGGACCCTTAGGACTATGAACCACGAGCACTGTCCACTCAGCCGTCAGGCCCCCAACATTTCTACATTTACTATGCCTGCATTAGGCTTTTTACATCTGAATTTCTGTAGTCACTAGATATAAGGTACATTATCTACATTTAATAAGTTCACTTTATAATACTGTACGTAAACAAAAAATCCAGGATCAGGTACAGAGAATGCTGGCTTGAGTAAAACTGTACCCGACAGGTGCAATAGAAAGAATCACTTCTGGTAATAATTGTTATGATCAGTTTCAACAAAAAATAACAGTCTTTGCAGAATTAATTCACAAGAACATGATACAGTATATCTAAGAGTAAATAATGAAGTCTTATGATGGAATTGAACCCACATCCCTCTGGATTTGCTAGATGGGAACTTGGTGCTGAAAACAGTGGGTGTTGAATGTAGTGAAATACTAGTTGCCATGTAATCCCTGGATTACTCCCAGGGTCAGGAAGCATTTGGACCTCCAAGACAATGCCACTTTGCTAGAATCTTGTGACCATCCTCTCAAGCCTGATGAGGATCTTTAATAAGAATCTTTTTGAGTTGAGGATGTAGACCACTTTACTATGTGATACATATATAATGTGGGTGAGGAAGACAATGGCAAGTCTAACTCAATCCATCACAAAGGGACCACTTGTTATGAGACACAGCAGTCAACACTTAATTAGCAAAATAAAGAATATTGACTACTGTGTTGGAACCATCATTAATGACAAAGTTACCCACTGCCACAGCTACTAATAATCAGGGTCAAACAGAGCTGCTTTCACACTAAGTCCAACTCGCCCAAGCAAGTTTGGAGTAGAAGATACAAAAAGATGGGAATGAGAGTATTCAAGGAACTGGTTGGAAAGTAATGCTTCATTCTCTGCACACCATTTCTGAGTCAAGGTCCCTTGATTGCTCACTGAGCTAACTCTCTACACTGAATGAAAGATCACTAGCCAATTCCAATATCAACTACATTGGTGCCTCAGAATACAGAGATGACAAACAAAATTAGTGCGCCATGACTGACTCCCGGAATAAATCCAACACAGTCCACTTACAGGCTCTAAGAGCCACAAAGAATGTGCATAAACAACTTAGCCCTACTGTAGTACTGAAAGTCATTGAAGCAGATAAAACAGACATAGTCTGCATACCATAAAGATGTGGGACGTAGCAGAGTCGAGTTCCTAGAAGGGATGATAAAGAATATCTGCCTAATGGGAATAGTCCTTAAGGAATACAGTACTGTAACTAGGGCAGGAGGCAAAGAGGGCACCTGGACCCAATGCTGTAAAGTTATAACTTCATGGGTCAAACTTCCAACATTTATTGCACTGGCACAAAGAGGGGGACATAATTCAGTGTGGAAGTGCTTCAGCTACCTCTTACTTGACAAGTGGGACTTTGGCATGGCTCTCTGATTGGAGAGGACCTGCCTTCTACCTTACTGCTTTTTATGTTTGGTGCTTTGGCACAGGTCTGGTTTTTTCTCCACCATTTCAGTCTATTAGTGTCTGGTAGTGTTTTACTGAGGTCTTTATATGTTATGTCTTCTCTTTCTTCTAAGTGGATAGAAGAAGCTATAATCACATGCTATTGTTAAAACGTTTGTCCTGACTCATAGTTTTTGTTAAAGCCATTATTTCTACACCTCACTTGCTTCTTATAGAACAAAAATTTATAACACATTAAGGCACTGCATGTACAGGTACCTCCATTTGCATAAACAAAACTGCCTTTTGAAACGGTGACAATTAGAAGTTGTGCATGACATATTACTAGTACTCTAATTTCATTTTGGATGGAAATGGCTCAAAAATAATGAGTTATAAAAATGACATGTTGGAATATACTTTCCTGGCGTGAAACTGGTGAATGTAGTACTGTCAGTAGACAGCCAGTGGTCACTTGTCAATAACAATACAGTACTAACAGGGTGCAAATAAAATATAACTTTTACACAAATTTAGACACAATACAATGATAATACCTGTAAATTTACTAATGAGAATACTGTTGGTGCACATATTACATAATACAATATAAATTAATTAATGCAAAAACTGTGAAAAAAAATGCAAGCTATAGCTCTGGTCTGGATTCGCAGAGCATTTACATCGCTACTTGAGAAATCTGTACCTCTTGCCTAGATCATGGCGGTTTAATTTTTATTTACTAAACATAACTCAGAATAGCTATGAGGCTGTCCATAATAACCTTGGGTTGAGGATGACCCAGCTCATAGTGCTTAATCTGAACACATAAACTAGTAAATACAGACTAAGCCGCTGTGATCGAGGTAAGAGATACAGCTCTCATAAATGGAAACGTAGGTGCTTTGTGAATCTAGCCCATGGTGCCAACCCCCATGGCCTGACACACAACATGAAGGTCTCACCAGCTGGGGGGGGTTGTTAGGAAGCATGCAGGTTACTTCTTCAGTCACTACTAGGAGGGTGGGGGAGCATCCTTCCCTTTGCTGAAGTGTACTATTGATCTGATCCCCCTCACTGAAGTCTAGGAAGACAGATGACGATAAGGACCTTGGTAAGCATCTAAAACTTGCCTAAACCTTTGGAATATGATATGAACACTCTTCAAACATTAAATTTTGAGACAAATTGTAGACTTAATGCTGTCAATCATAAAAGTGGCTAAAATCATTATTAATAAATTTCTGAGTCATAGAAAATAAACAAATAGCCATCTCACATTAACAGACTCTTGATTTTATTTTTATTGTGTTTGCTAAAATTTCATATTGTATTTTGAAAAGTAACAATTAATATACTGTACAGTACTTCATAATATTTGAACAGAATCTTTGCAATTTATGTAACTTCATCCATCAGACATTTTAACCCTTCCACTGTGTGAGCCATACAGGGATGATTGTGGCATATCAGACCACACTGAGTGAGTCATACAGGTATGATTTAAGTACCACATAAGATTTAAAAGTCCCCACGCATACACGGGGCTCACATTTGCTTTGTTAGGCCTCCAGTAAACAGACGCTATCCTGGAAATATATTGTGGGAACCTCCCCTGGGAGTGAGGGCCTCAGTATTGAGAGGGTGACTGCAGGTGACAAATGCTTCACTAGCTCACAGCATTGCCACGCAGCCTATGCTCACACCATCACTTAATTATGAAGAAATAAATAGCTGCGATGATTATTTTGCAATGATAGTGTTATGAATATTCTGACTATGATAAAGACTATATATAAGGTTCAAATATGAGTAAAGCCAATGTAATTTATGATGTTCACAGTGCAAGGCAGACATTCACAGCATATAGCCATGGTCTAATGGATTTACACATCATGAAACATGACCACCTGTTCATTTAGGAAATAAACTTGTGGAAATTTATTCATATTCATGATCTAGGTATCATATCATGATAAATATGTCTAGGAATCTGATGATAACAGAAGTGTGCGTGTCTGGAATTAGCGATATGTGAAGTATATCATGCCACATTTTGCTGAACCATGTCGAGTCGTCTGTCGGCATCATCTGACGGTAATGTGTGTGGCGTTATGATGTGCTTGAATTTCATTATCACTCCCACTAGAACTGATTATTGGTTCATTAATTAAAGTGCATAAAACTGTAAATAGTTATACATAAGAATGTATATGGTATAACAGCAAAAACTGAATGTTTTATTGTTCTAAGCAAATAAAATAGTGTACATCTTAATAACATGAACATATTTGTGTGTACCTATGATCGACATGTTCTGTGATAAATAATAATATTGACAGCCTGTTGCACTTGAAAAGCCATAGTAAAACATTAGAAATACAAAGAAAATATTATACTGTATATTCAGTGCGTGCAGTTAGAACTTTGCACAAAACGTGCAGAGCTAGGCTGAAATCTGACCACATGTTACAGCATTACCACACCCACCTAAACTGCTTAATTCTTCATAATTGTGCATGAAATGTAGATAATTATATATAACATGTGAATGTACATTAGTGTAATAACAGCAAAATCAGAATGTTTTATTGTTCTATGCAAATAATACAGTGCAAAAAGAACATTTTGTTGATAAAGAAAACAGCTCCTATTAACTGGAACTGAGGGAGAATTCAGTAATAAAGAGATGCAAGCACCTAACTGACGCACAAAAAAGTATGGTAGTTAGAAGTGTCCACAAAGGGGTTATGCAGCTGGTGCCTTTATAGCATTGCTGAGTAAAACATAACACATACAATAATGAGTATGTTATTATGCTCTATTTTGTTATATATCATATAAGTACATTGCCCAATGTTATTATCTGTTACTTTCACCAATGTTGCCAAACAAATATTTAAGGGAAACTTTTATTTGTTTTTCTCCTTTGTTTATTATTTGACTTTGTTGTAACCTCTAAATTGCAGAAAATGCATATTATTCCCTAAATATGTGAAGATAGCATGAAATTGGTCAACAAATAAATTAGTCACAACTGAAAGAACTTGTGACTTCAAATTTTTTTTGGCTGATTTTTTCACAGATTTCAAACTCTACTTTCTTCGTTTCTTTAGGTTGTTTTGATAATTAGGGACCTGATTTGGGCTTTTTCATGTATATAGAGTATACCCTAAATATATCCCCTAAATCATTATAATTATCCTTATATTTTGCTTTTTTGGGGGGTTATTTTTTCAACACATATTGACCTACAACTTTCACATGTTCGAGTACAAATGCCAAACAATGTTTATTATCACATACAAGTAAATTACTGAATTAGAACTACCTTATTCATTGTCGATAACTTCAACAATCTCTAAAACTAGAGTTTCAACTTTGAGTCAGCTTCAAAAATCCAGTTTCTGACCGATTCTCACCATTTTTACATATAGTGTGCTCAGCTGTCTGTTCTACAATCACTACAGAATGGATTTTTCATAAACCCTAAATGTTTGGAGTTATAATTATTTTTCTCTAAATTTGGCGCTTATTTCAAATGCCATATTGACGATTTTTTTTACAGTAAACTATATTGAAAAACTATATTCTAAATATATGAAAATGAAGATCATATGCTACTTTTGAGAGCATATTAACACAAATTGAATAATTTGTGATATTTTATATTTTTGAAACCGATTCAAAATCTGAAGTTTTCAATATTCAATTTAAATTTTTTTTTTTTTATTTTCTTGTTTTTCAAGTTACGTTGGTGATCATTTACACAAAGTTTGAGCATTTGCCTAGTAGATTATGCACAAAACATTTGAAAGTGTTTCAGAAAATGTTAAAATCTGAGTTCTATGTCCAACTTCATATGTTTTGCGCAGCTTAGGGGTTAAATCTATGACTTGTTCTTGAAGTTCCAGGTCTCAGGATTTCTTCCTCATCAATTTTATCGATTCCTGTTACTATTTTGTACGTAGTGATCATATCGCCTCTTTTTCTTCTATCTTCTAGTTTTGGCATATTTAATGCCTCTAACTTCTCCTCGTAGTTCTTGTCCTTCAGTTCTGGGAGCCATTTAGTTGCATGTCTTTTCACCTATTTCCAGTTTATTGATGTGTTTCTTAAAATATGGGCACCATACATCCACTACATATTCCAACTTTGGTCTAACAAAAGTCCTGAACAATTTCTTAAGTATTTTGCCATCCATGTATTTAAAAGCAATTCTGAAGTTTGAGAGTGTGGCGTAGGCTCCTCACACAATGTTTTTAATATGGTCCTCAGGTGCTAGTTTTCTGTCTAGAACCACCCCTAGATCTCTTTCTTTATCAGAATTCTTTAAAGATTTCTCACATAATTTATAGGTTGTGTGGGGTGTATGTTCTCCTATTCCACATTCATAACATGGCATTCATTAACATTAAATTCCATTTGCCAAATGGTGCTCCATACACTTATTTTGTCCAGATCTTCTTGAAGGGCATGACAATCATCTAAGTTTTTTATCCTTTCTATTATCTTTGCTGATGATGCTAACACGTTCATATAATTCTGTATTCTATCTGGTAGATCGTTTATGTAGACAATGAACATTACCGGTGCAAGAACTGAACCCTGTGGTACTCTACTTGTGACATTTCTCCAATCCAATACATTGCCTCTGATTACTGCCCTCATTTTTCTGTCAGATAATTTTTCATCCATGTTAGAAACCTACCTACCAGTCACTCCTCCAATAAGGTCCAATTTCCAGAACAACCTCTTATGTGGAACTCTGTCGAAAGCCTCTTTTATGTCCAGATAGATGCAGTCAATCCAACCATCTCATTCCTGTAAAATCTCTGTTGCTCGATCATAGAAACTGAGTCAGCCATTAGTTATGTTTTATTTAAGGTTGTTTACTTTGCCACATTACTTTGTCTAGTTTGTTACTGTTTGTCTATTTTTAGTGCATTCAGCTCTTACGACAGTTAATTAGCAATTGTTTATTTTCACTTTGACCTCATCCATCACGTGGTTGTCCGGCGTGCGTCTGGCATAAATAAAAGGCATTTATTTATATTTTCATTAATTATTTTAGCTATTTTACATTTACAATTCTTTGCTCTAATCATGATAAAATGTTATGCTACTTTGAAAGACATAAGAATATTGGCTTCTATTGGATTATTATTTTCTAATAATAAGCAAGTTTACCAGTAGGAATAGATTATGACATTCAGTTTCAGTGTGTTATTTCTAAATCAAAGTTCTGATTTTTACATTTTTCATTGTAAATTAAAAAAATACAGTACAGTATATTAACGGTTTATTCCTAATTTAATATGTTATACAAATAATTTGTCTAATGTAAAATAGATTTTTGTTTAATAGGGAACTATTACTTAAAATAGTTAATTATGCTGTAAGGGAATATCTGTCTTGATTAATAGAACAATATAAATACTGTAATCCCATAATGTGTTAATTAAATTGAAATAAATCTGAATTCTTTTTAATGCATTCAATTGATTGTTCATGATGTCTTTGGTGAATGACAATGTTTGTTCCTATCAAAAGAAAGGTACAAACACCTGTGTTAAAGCTCTTAGTGTAGTATTCTCAAAGTTACATCTGGATGCTTAAGCATGAATCTACAGAAATGGTTTTCTCAAGCAATGCAACCCAGCAGGCAAAATATGCTCAAGAAACATTTAAGCGATGTTGTACCAATATTGGGTCAACATTGGTACCAATATTGGGTCAACATTGGTACCAATGTTGGGTCAACATTGGTACAACATTATATAATGTTCCTTGCCCAGCTTTGCCCAGGGGAAACCGCACACAATAACAAGTGTACTGTACTACTCATTACTGCTACTACTGTACAACTAGACACCAACAATGTCAAATACTTTATACAAGTTAATAAAAAGCTTCAAAAGGTGCATAAAGGCCAAAATCCTCAATTGCAAAATTAGTTGTGTGGCATAATAATAAAAGTATATTATGGGATATAAAGAAAGAAATATCTTGTATGGAATACAAATATTATCCCAGTGCAAAAACCTGTCACCATATTTTGACACCAAAAATTGGATCTCAAAATTAAAAAGAAAAAATTTATTAGATGAGATACATAATATAATGTTTCCACACTGAAAATGATTCACTGTATACAGTAGTGTTCAATGTGAAGCAGCCCTACACGTTATTGGAAAACTTTAAGCACTGCTAAACTGTGCACGAAAAATGCAAATTAGTTGATAATTATGCTGCAAATTCTTTAAAATTCATGATCTAAATACATTAACTGTTTATTATTTCTTGCTTTAACTTCCTGTGCATGTAAAACGTAATAACCAATAATAAAATTAGGCAACGCACTACAAGCGAGCTATTTGCTCCAATACACTGCCATCCCATGAAACTAAATACATGAGTGCAAAGTACTGCAAAGTACAAGCAATTTTGATATATAAGTATCAAATTTATGTATTTCATGTGCTTACATGCATGAAGCTATGAAATAATCCAGCAGCATATATATATATCAAATATAACACTTTTGGTTCAAGATTTACTAAACTATTACCTGTTTAAACTTATTATAGTACAGGGTATTTACTTGTTAAGATTTCTATTAAACTGCAGATTAAGCCAGAGTAAATTACCTTTTCATTAATGTAATTTGTATGTGTTCCCACAAAAACACTATATCAGTGTCCCCTCCTAACCCTAAATATCAGTGTCCCTCCTAACACTAAATATCAGTGTCCTCCCATAACCCTAAATATCAGTGTCTCCTCCTAACCCTAAATATCAGTGTCCCCTCCTAACACTAAATATCAGTGTTCCCCTCCTAACACTAAATATCAGTGTTCCCCTCCTAACACTAAATATCAGTGTCCAATCCTAACACTAAATATCAGTGTCCCCTCCTAACACTAAATATCAGTGTCCCCTCCTAACACTAAATATCAGTGTTCCCCTCCTAACACTAAATATCAGTGTTCCCTTCCTAACACTAAATATCAGTGTTCCCCTCCTAACCCTAAATATCAGTGTCCCCTCCTAACACTAAATATCAGTGTCCCCTCCTAACACTAAATATCAGTGTTCCCCTCCTAACCCTAAATATCAGTGTCCCCTCCTAACACTAAATATCAGTGTCCCCTCCTAACACTAAATATCAGTGTCCCCTCCTAACACTAAATATCAGCGTTCCCCTCCTAACACTAAATATCAGCGTCCCCCTCCTAACACTAAATATCAGTGTCCTCCCATAACCCTAAATATCAGTGTCCCTCCTAACAGTAAATATCAGTGTCCCCCTCCCCTAACCCTAAATATCAGTGTCCCCCTCCCCTAACCCTAAATATCAGTGTCCCCTCCTAACAATAAATATCAGTGCCCCCCCTAACACTAAATATCAGTGTCCCCCCACTAACACGCTATATCAGTGTTCCCCTAACATGCTATATCAACATCCCCCTAACATACTATATCAGCATACCCCTAATATGCTAAATCAGCGTCCACTTTGCAGACGAAGAATCACAATAATGTGGCTGAAGACTTGACACCCAACCCGCATCTCTGAAAATGAAAATTCGATGACGTTTCAGTCTGTCTTGGATCATTATCAAGTTCTGTGATTTTAGAACTTGATAATGATCCAGGATGAAGCAAAACATCATCAGTTCTTCATTTTCAGATGAGTGAGTTGGGTGTCAGTGTCCTTCCTCTCCCTATAACACGCTATATCAGTGTCCCCCTAACACACTATATCAGTGTCTTCCAACACGCTATACTGTACTGGTATCCTCCTAACAAAATAGCCATCCAAACTATACTTTAATTAAACCAGTATTGCAATTAGACTACAAAAAATAAAATCTGATGAATATTAAACTTACATCTTTGACAAAGTAATTGCCTAATTAAAAAAGCACAACTAAATAAAAGTATTTAATGTTAAAATTCAAGTCACTGAAAAATGTGAAAATATTCCATGTCCACAAGATATACCAGATATATGTATGTGAATTTTTACTGTGATTCTGAAAAAGCAACTAAAGAAAATCCTATCCAAAAGAGTTAAAAAATGTAATTTCAGAGTAGGGCAGGACTATATAATTTTGGTTCAGAGATATTTTGACTGATGTTATATAATATCCAAAGAACTTTTGCTGAAAGCCAAGTAACAATATCTTACAATGCATAAATGTATACTGCATAGGTCATTTGACTGCAATAAAAATTTGGAGATTGAAAACAATAGAGTAAAACTTGATACTGATCTAATTTGTGGGCTTTTGTTTATTTTCTGTGGGGGAGCCCCTTTGGCTCCCCGAATCATTAGATCAGGGCATTAGTCTATGGAGTTCAGCCTACCGGGATCACGAGCCAGAACCTGGCCCCCCTCAAAGAGGCGCAGGGAGCAATGGCCCTGGTACACCCCCCCATCCCCCTCCCCTCTGTGGTTGGAGGTTTTCCTCATCTGCCATCGACTGCGGTTAGGCACCCAGAAAGGTAGGCATAACAAAACAGACCCCACATGGTAAGAAAATTGCAACTGAAAACCAAACAGACAGGCAGAACCCCTCCAATATCAAGCAAACAAGCAAATGTCACACGGACTTGCCGGCCGACCATGGCGACGGATGGTGGTTTCTCTCGGGGACATCTCGAGAGGCAGACGTTCTGCCTCTCTCTTTGGTTTTCAGTTGCAATTTTCTTGCCATGTGAGGGTCTGTTTTGTGATACCTACCTTTTTGGATTCTAAGCCCAGTCAATGGCAGATAAGGAAAATTCCCAACCACAAGGGTTTTTTTCAGGGCCATTGCTCCTTGCGCCTCTCTGAGGGGGGGCCAGGTTCTGGCTCGTGGTCCCTGGTACGTTGAACTCCATAGACTAGTGCCCCAGTACCGTATAATAATTCGCATATTTAGCCCGATAGCTCCAGGGAACCAAAGAGGCTCATCCAGAAAATGACGTTTCATTACATTCAATGCTGGTTTTGTATTTAATATTTTAGATAAAAAACAGAGTTACATGAAAATTGCTATTGCATGACTGCTAAAATTAATGCAGACACAAGACCAGTTTGCCTGCCTTAAAATTACCATAAACATGATTACAAAATTCACATAACTATTGAAAATATTGTAATCTCAAAACACCTGGCAAGAAGTACAATTTAGATGGCTATATTTTACTGCCTTTCTTCTTTTATAAACTAAGACTTAAGTTCTAAGGTACAGAATCGTCGAGTTATAGAAAAACTAAGGTATAGAAATGCCATGTTTTAAAATGTCTGAGACACAGAAATGCTGAGGTATAGCTACAACTTTACCTTCTTTCTGCTACCACTGAGGAATTCTTTGTACATTTCTGAGCGCAGATACCGCGAGTAACTGTCAGACTTCATTAGGTGATACAAATGTGCCTGCAAAAGGAGTCATTTAAGACACTGGTAAAGAGAGTATCATTGATAATAAAGTTCAGCAGTTATTGCCTCTTTGAAATTCAAACTTTACAGATTATCATCACATTTAAAGTGATATATTGTATCACTTTAAACAATTTTAATCAGCTCAATTTATTCAATTCTTATATATTATCTCTATAGTATTAAGTATTACCCAATTAATCTATAATTAAAATAAATATTTTTAAGTTAAGCCTATAAATATAAAAGCTTTGTATAACTAGTCACTGTATATAATAAACAATTATTTTATCCACTATGTAACCACAGTAACATGTACAATACACATTACTGTACATAGTATAAAATAATATAATAATAATAATAATAATAATAATAGTAGTAATAATATTTTATTCAAATGGTATAAGGAATGAGAAATGCTGATTGAATTGATATTGTATAATGAAAGTTTAAGCAATATGTAATACAAAATGTATAACGTACAAAGTTTCCATTCATGACAAATACTGTCAAGAATCAGTACTCATCTTTGATGTGCCCTTACCAGAAATAAAATTAATACTGTACATTTCATCAATGACTAAATTGATAATCAATTGATGGCTCTGTTACTTGAATTGCATATGCATTTACCGAGACAAACAGCGGGTTTATATTGTATTGCAACTGTCCATTTGTTCACTTGTTCATTCTACACATCTGCCCCAGAATTTTTGAGCTGTTGAGGAATTTTCCATGAAGTTTTATACATTGTGTGTATCAATAGGAAAATTCTCAGATGCAATCCAGAATCAAGCCTAAGATGTACTGTTACGAAGGTTAAGGAAAACCCTTTTACCATAAGAAAGTGTCTCCATAGACCTCTCAAGGTTCAAGTTCACAAGTGGTAATTTGGACACTTGAAAGAGGCAGCCACTTTCAGAAAGAATCATTCATCAGTGTTATAAAGCATTTTGATTCCATTGATATCTTGTGTTCAGTTTAGTATTATAATGTTCTTCCTTATACTGTACAGTACCTGTATACGTGACCAATCTCACCTCAGCTGCCAACAGCAGTGGATGTGTCCACTATGCCACTCCACAAGACATCCAACACTATTACGACCTGTAGATGGGGTAGCATCTGGGACAAGTTGCCAGTCTGAGCATCTATGGTTTAGGGTCACCTGCACCATGATGCATAAGGTTAAAGTGCACTTTCAAGAGAACCAGGTTCTGACCAAAGCTGAAATACTCCAGGCAATCAACACCACTGCCCGAGTTATTCCTGTCGACATAACTGATGCCTGCGATGGAGCAACACTACTTTTCTCCAGTGAAGGTGAGCTGAAGTAACTTCTCGACCCCTACACTGGCAGCTCTGCAGGCCACCAACCATACTCTCACTCAACCACGACGCTACATAGCTGCTCAAACAATTTTTGCCATTTTTGCCAGCTCATGGATCACGGACTGCGACATCATCGATATCATCACCAGCATCAACTCAAAACACCCTGCCATGACGGTTACCATGGCAAAACTCATCACTAACTACGAGACCCAGTGACCGACCTTAAAAATGTCCTTCGCGACAACTGCCAACCTTGCCACAACCAGCAGATTCCAGTGCTTCGGAATCACCACACACCACCCGACCTAGTGAAGAAGGAATGATACTTGGAGGTGAAGCAATGCCTCAGGTGTTACCAGTAATCTCACTACACCGGCAAGTGTAGTGAGATTACTGGTAATCTCACCACCACTACACTGCCTGCACAGCCACCCACCAGAAATCCCTCCTCTGCAACGATCAACATACAGCTGTCTCCCCCTGCCTGCTCTTGCAGGAAGGAGATCAAGAAGATGATGAAAAACTCTGCCACTGCCACACATCGACCAGTCAACCCACCCATGTCTTCATTCCCAGCCTTGCCCAGAAACACACCTGGGGAAGCTGCCGCTATCACACCACACTTCGTTGACCTCCCCACTGCATGGCACTCTTAAATTCCAGATTCTACATACAGTACAACATTCACACATTTCCCAGAATCAAGCCATCATAACCCATTATGGTAACTTACAGCTGCTGCATCAAAGGTCCAGCGATCTCTGTTTTGCATGTTTTTCTTTGTAATGTTCATGGACTTAGAGTCGATGTTTACGGGCACAGGGGCACTAGGGGCGAGGTATTCATCCCAGATAGCTTGGACCTTATCATGGACGTCCTTTTGTGGGAGGCACTTCAGTTCCTGAACGGCAGTAAGGAACCTGATACAAAATATCAGTAATTAAGAATTGTTAATAGATACTGACTTATCAATATGCTTCCATCAAAATTTAACATACATGTACTGTACTTTGTTATTAAATGCAGGTAAACTAACTGATAGCTAATGACATTGATCAATTACATAGTATACAAAACTTTCAAATTAGACAGAAATTGATATGCACAATGAAATCACAAGGACAAGATGAATCTAAGAATGCAGTAAATATAGAGGCCATATCATAAAATCAAACCTATGTCCCTGAACTCAAGTGTTATGCCCTTCAAGAAGACCTGGAAAAATTAAGTGTAACAAACTAAGTGACAAACTAAGCAACACTTGGCAAAATGAAATTTAATGTGAATAAATGCTGTTATGTAGTGTGAATAGAAGAAAACAGGCCACACACACAATCTACAAATTATGTGAAAAAGAAAGTTTTATTAAATTCTGATAGAGAGAGATTTGGGACGGTTCTGGATAGAAAACTGTCACCTGAGGACCACATAGAGAACATTGAGCAAGGAGCATATGCTATGCTTTCCAACTTTAGAATCACTTTTAAATGCATGGATGGCAAAATATTAAAGAAAATGTTCATGACATTTGTGGGACCAAAATCAGAATATGCAGAGGTTGTATGATACCCATATCTCAAGAAGCACATAAATAAACTGGAAAAGGTGCTAACACATGCAACTCATGACTTCTAGAACTGAAAACAAGAGCTACAAGGGAGAAGTTAGAGGAGTTAAATGTACTCAAGCTAGAAGATAGAAGAAAAAAAAAAGAGATGATATGATCACTACATACAAAATAGTAACAGGAATTGACAAAACTGACAAGAACTTAAAAATGGCAACTTCAAGAGCAAGAGACACGGGTTCAATCTAAGGAAACATAGCTGCCAGAAAAACATTAGAGCATTTACTTTTGTGAATAGAGTGGTATATGGTTGGAACAAGTTAGATGAGAAGGTAGTGGAAGCCAAAGCCATCAGTAGTTTCAAAGTGTGGAGTTTTAAATGACGGAGTGTGTAAGGGACCTTTGCGAGGAATATATGAAATAATGGTCAGGGTTAGAGAAAGTCACTTTTCAAAACTCCCTCCAGATCAGCAGCTCCTCTGCACTTGTGCAGTTGCATAACTATAGTGAGAGGATGATCCTTTCTAAACAGATATAAAAACACTTGCTTAAAACTGATAAGAGAGACTATTCCAAGTACATTCTGTGACTGGAAAGCATGTTGAAAATCTAAGTGTTACATGTGGAAAATCAGTTTAAACAAAATAAAAAATGAAAAGAAATGAGATGTGGAACCAGACAATATTGGAACCTGGAGGGAAGGAGTATGAACATGGACTGACGCTTGACCACTTCTCTCAAGGCCATAGAACAGTTCGGATGTTCATCCCACATGTCAGCTCAAGTTGTATGGTCATCCATCTCGTGTGGTAACTAGTGCAGTGACAAACTTATTGTATTTGTGGTGCTATCATATAAACTAGTTTGGAATAGGATTGATTATTTACATGTCCCATTGGTGGCTGGCAATTGTATGTAACTTCCCGCCATGTGTGGAATGTTTTAATTTCATGTTCCGTATCATTATCTCTTGGTTGTTAAATGTTGTTCATCCACATTGTATAATTTGCTTTTTCACTTTGGAAAAATGCTCTTTAATCCTTTTTCACTAGCAGGGTTATAAACCTACAGGACTGCCTACCTGTCAAAGCCGTAAATAGCAAAACTTAAATGTTAAAATCCAACCGGAAAACATCATCAGGGCAAATGGGGGACTTTTGACAAGCTGCTGACTTCCTGTCCTTGTTGAGGTTACTAGAGTGTTAGTGACCCTCAGGTAAATTCTGGTAAATTTCCAGTGTAAAGTAGAGATAACTGTGGACTACAGCCAAGTGTACACTCTTCAAGTGTACTGACTCAATAAATGGAGCTTTAGAGTACAGTACAGTACAACAATACAATACAATACAATACAATACAATTTTATTTAGGTAAGGTACATACATACAATAAATATTTACAAGGATTGTTTAACTTATAGGTATAGCTAGTACATACAATGCCTAAAGCCACTATTACGCAAAGCGTTTCGGGCATGATAAACTTAAATGACAAGCTTAATACTAATTGAGCATAATGAGTAGAATGAAAACAAGAAATGAAAACATAGATGAAAAAGCAGCACAAATACAATTATGTCGACAAACAGCGCTCTTTAAAGAAAAAAACAGACATTGGTTGACAATAGAAGGGTAAGGTAGGTTACAGGGAATTTATTAGGTATAGCTTCGCTTTTAACTTAAACTGGTTGAGAGAGGTACAGTCTTTAACATGGTTGGGAAGGTCATTCCACATTCTGGGCCCCTTGATTTGTAGAGCATTTCTAGTTTGATTAAGTCGTACTCTAGGAATATCAAAACTGTATTTATTTCTGGTGTGATGCTCATGGGTTCTGATACAACCTTCTATGAAGCTTTTGAGATCAGGATTGGCATTATAGTTTAGCGTTTTATATATGTATAATACACATGAGAGAATGTGCAGTGACTTAATGTCTAACATATTCAGAGATTTAAGTAGGGGTACCGAGTGGTGTCTGGGGCCAGAATTGGATATTGTCCTAATAGCAGCTTTGTGTTGAGTAATTAGAGGACGTAAGTGATTTTGGGTAGTAGAGCCCCAAGCACAAATACCATAGTTGAGATATGGATAGATAAGGGAGTAATAGAGAGTCACCAGGGCAGGGCGTGGTACATAATATCTGATCTTAGAAAGAATGCCCACAGTTTTTGAAACTTTTTTTGATATGTTTAGAATGTGTCCCTGGAAATTAAGCTTGTGGTCAATGAGAATGCCAAGGAATTTGCCATCTAATTTGTTACAAATTTGGGTATTGTTTATTTTGAGATTTATTTGATTAGAGGATTTATTGCCAAACAGAATATAAAAGGTTTTGTCAATGTTAAGGGTGAGTTTGTTGGCAGTTAGCCACAGATGGACTTTATTTAGCTCAGTATTTACTGTGGCATTTAGAGTAAGGGAATCAGGACTGGAGTAAATGAAGGTTGTGTCGTCAGCAAATAGAATTGGTTTGAGGTGTTGGGAGGCATTTGGAAGGTCATTAATGTAGATGAGAAAGAGGAGAGGGCCAAGTATGCTGCCCTGGGGAACACCAATGTTGATGGGTAGGGTGGGAGAAATTGTATTATTCACAGAAACATATTGGAGCCTGTCAGTAAGGTAGGATTTGAGGTATTGTAGGGAGTGTCCTCTGACTCCATAATGATGTAATTTAAGAAGAAGGTTTTGGTGGTTGACAGTGTCAAAAGCTTTACGCAGGTCCACAAACAACCCAACAGAGAACTCATTTTTATCAAGAGCTGTATGAATCGAGTTAAGCATACTAATAAGTGCATCGTTAGTGCTTTTTTTGGGTCTGAAGCCATATTGGCAAGGGCTAAGTATATTGAGTTTGGCTAGATATGAGTAAAGCTGCTTATAGATTAGTTTTTCAAAAATTTTTGACAAGTTTGGCAGGATAGATATAGGTCTGTAGTTGTTAACATCTGTGAGATTACCACATTTGTGGACAGGCGTTACTCTCGCTTTTTTTAGAATATCTGGGAAGGTTTGGAGTTCAAGTGACTTGTTGAAGAGCAAAGCAATAGCAGGGGCTAAAGATCTGGAGGCTTTTTTGTAAATTAAAGTTGGTATCTCCTCAAGGGCACCAGACTTGGTTTTAAGGGAAAGGATTATCTCATTGACGTCAGTGGAATTAATAGGCTTTAGGTACAGAGACTGTGGATAGTTACCTGAAAGATAGTCATTAATGTCTGTACTGGAAGATGGAATATCATTTGCAAGGGATGAACCAATGGAAGAGAAGAACCTATTGAACTCAGTAGCAGAATCAGAGGCTGAAAGCTGACCATCGTTATTAGACAGGAGAGTCGGTTTGTTATTTAAAGACTTCTTTGATCCCAATATTTGAGAAATTATTCTCCAAGTTTGTTTAATGTTGCTCTTTATTTGGGTAAATTTATCTTCGTAGTATTTAGTTTTGGCTCGTCTAATTATCTTAGACAGCAATAATGAGTAATTCTTTGAGAATTCTTTGGAGACAATTCCTAACCTATACTTCTTCTCAAGGTCATGTTTTTTATTAATAGATTTAAGTATTCCCTTTGTAAGCCAGGGATTGTTAAGCCTTTTGGTTGTGACTTGTTTTGTAAGCATAGGACAGTGGGTATTATAAAGGCTAAGAGTTTTTTGAAGAAAAGATTGTACTGCAAGGTTGATGTCCACTATGTTACCTAACTCGGACTCCCAGTTGACATTATCAGCAGCAGTTATAAAATTGTCTATAGCAGTTTCATTGTGCAGTCTAAAACGTATCACTCTTGACTCAAGAGGTGGTTTGCTAATGTTAGTTAAGAGAAATGTGGGGTAATGATCTGTAGTGCTATCGGTGATTATACCTGAAGTAAGCGGAGAGGTTATGTTTGTCCAGATGTGATCGAGCGTCGTGGCAGTGCTATCAGTGATTCTAGTAGGTCTAGTGATTAAGGGTATGAGGAAGCAGGAATTCATACAGTTGAGGAAGCTAACAGCAGTGGGGTGTTCAGGCTCGCAGAGGTCAATATTAAAGTCCCCTTCCCCTGCGAAGTACTGTACAGTACTTTGATTAAGTCCAAGTTTTGTGGGACCAGTAACCTTTTGTTCAATATTATTGAAAGCCACACTCCAGATATATTTTGTGCCTCTAAGCTTAAGTCTATAGAAATAAACTCCTGTGTGAGTTCAGAAGCGATTACTGTATTTTCAAAAGCCCTTTTACCCTATATAAAGGTCTATCTTGCAGTACAAAGTACGAGTTCTGTACAAGGTATGTCCCGAGGACCTGGTATAATACTGATTATTGTAGTCCTCCAAAGAGGACTTTAGTAATTAGTAATTTAGTAGAAACAAAGAGGATTCTTTAGTAAGGATGAGTAGAAACAAGCTCATGCCCTTCCACAACGTGTGTAACTCTCATCCTTTCCTATAAGTACACTTAGGTAATTACACTACTGACTGGAGATGCTGTTAAGCCCATCATAGTCCAGTCAGTAGTGTGTGACCTTAAGGAGTTCTGGGACATGGGTTTGATTCCAGTCTTTTATTCAAAGACTAATATGACTGGCAAAATTGTTACAAAGTGGGACAGAAGAGTTATGCAAGATTTCTCCTGCAGCACTGGAGTGATTGTTTGGTTGTAAGCAGACAAGCACCGAGTGTGTGTGCCTCTGCGCTAGGTATGTGCCTCCGGGCTCCACTGGGTGTGAACTGGGAGTAGTACAGTGTTATAATTTACCTTTCATCTGAGAGTATACTACCAGAAAGTTAGTATTTCTACCTTTCTAGTACTCATGCAAGTGCATGAGCTAAGTCAGGTTGCAACACTAATTGAGGTGCAACCTGGTATTCCTGTCTATGCTAGTATTTGTACCTGTTAACTATGGTTCCCTACTCCTTTTGGATCGAGTTTTGTGCAAATGGAGACAAAATGAAATGTTGACGCTCAAGGGTGCTATCCTTGTTGCAAGCACCATTGTACACACACACACACACACACCTGAGCAATGATATAAATTAAGCACTATTTATACCTACATGCTCATGATTACTGTACCTTTTTTAACCAGCACTTGACTGACAATTCTTTTAGAGAACTAACTTTGAAGCACCAAGTAACTCAACTTGGCATGATACTTTCTATATTATGATTGTGAAGCCTCAAAATCCAAGTGCCTTGGTTGTACTGTACAGTAATATATATAGTTATAATTAACATGTTTTATGAAGCCAAAATATACTTACATTAGGTTTTCTCCACTGAACTCTTTCTCAAGGAATCTGACAAACTGCTCACGTCCAAGTGGGTCTTTGAGCAGTTCTTGTACACTGAAGCCCCATCTTCTTACTCGTTTAGATGGGATTTCCTTCCTAAGTGAACAAGAAAACAATTAGCTCTAGTACAGTATATTTAAAACTTATTAAGTATCAAGAAAAGATAAAAATCTTCTTGTACAGATGGTTTTCTGTAGTCGAGAGTACAAAGCCTGCAATGCTTATAAAGATTCCCATCGGCCAGATGTGGCACATCTACGGCACACATGCAAGCAAATTTTGCCAGCATACAGCAGCACTACAATACTCTTTAAACCCCACTCATAATAAACAAACTCATACATAAGACATCATTACAGTACTGCCAATTAAAGCAACAGGTTATTTTTAACAACCTGGGAGCGATAAGAAGTGCTCACAGTTGGTTAATTTGTAATGTTTCCTCAACATACCACGGGGTGGAGCTGTGCAAGGCAACAATAAACAAATGGTCTAATAGACAGGTTGACCTTTCACAAATAATTGCTGTGATAACTGATGGTAAAGCATGATTGGTAAAAAAAACCTGTTTTCTTAATATGTTTGCAAAATTTATTGAATATCTGCTGGTAGGCTTTCTTTGTATTGTACATGAGGAGGCTTTATGTTTATGCTCCGCCGGAACCCAAAAGTGATATGCTGCTGAAGCTGCATATCACTTTCTGCATATCCTACCATTTTCTTCTTTCTCCATAAAAAATGGCAAAATACAAATAAAATAATAATAATAATAATAAATTATAATAAATATGGGTCCCATGGGCAAACGAGATACTGTAACTTTTTAGATCACTGCCAGTTGAACACATGCCTTCAAAAAGGTTTGTCACCCACTGTTCTAGGCCAGCTACTTATGATCTTTCCCAGGATGCAACCCACAACAGTTGTCTAACTTCTGGGTACTTATTTACTGCTAGGTGAACAGAGATATCAGGTGAAAGGAAGTGTTGCCCAAATGCTTCTGTCCTGCCTCAGAATTTGAACTCCATAATGTGTGTGTTAGTAGCTTTGCAAAAATGTAACACTCAAATCCCAGTGTGTGTACTTTCTCAACCCAATGTACTTTCTTGTACATAAATACCAGTAAATAGATATATAAAAAAATCAAAGCTCTTTCAGCTGTGATATGACTATGCGCTGATCACTGCACCACAGAGACAAAGTACATTATAGCCTTGTGGGCAAACAATATTGATAAACATTGAATCGATGTTGATAATGTTAATATTCTGCCAATTTAATGTTACTCAAGAATATTTTTCCTGCACTGTGTTGCAAATGTTTAGTTTCTCATTTAAATCTTCGCAGCATCTACAAAAATGCAAAGAACTTACGCAATTTTCTCAGCTTCCCAGAAATCAGGACAGTCTGAAACCCAGGGATTAGGCGGGTCAGTTGCAGTGATGAAAGGATCATATTCTTGATATTGTTCCCAGTAGCTGATAAACCTGCAAAAAGAGCTATCTATATTATAAACGGCAAATGTCACTGAAGAGTTCGCAAATCATGCAGTAAATATCAGGCATTGAGTAAAATAATAACACTTTTCTGAGCAAGTCTCTTAGTTTCTCGTTAAGATAAAATCCTTTTGGGTTCAGGACAGGGATATGCTTAGTCATGGCAAGTCAAATATCTGCATCTTTTAAAGCTATCAATTCAGTATGGAAAGGCTTCCAAAGAGCACATTCCAAAATACTTACAGCCCTTTCAAACACTAATGCTTTTCAGCCAAAGGACCAATGATTAACAGTCTTCTAAACCTACTGTTACCTTACCTGGCTGATATGCCTACCAACCACCAGACAGCAACACTGACTCGAGCCGCCTCAAGCTCTTAGCTGAACCCCCCAAGCAACTACCCAGGCCCATGTAAGAAGGGCACATAAGGATCAGTTGCATCAAGAAGGGACAGAAGGAAGGACTTTGGAACAACCTCATCACTTACCAATAGTTAATCATTAGAAAAGTGATATTAATTTTACTCTGATTACTCCATTAATTGCCGTCATTGGAGGAAGGCAAGATAAAAGTAATTATGAAAAGATAATTCTTGCCAAGCAGTAAGATTATGTAGGAAGGCAAGATAAAAAATATATATAAAATTGCAGGATATTCCTTAAATATGGTGCTGAGTGATAGGAGACCAGACCAGGATGAATAATGTGTGACAGCACCAACCCCACAGTAGCACAGGTCATCAGAAAGACGGACCTACCCCAAGTGATGCACCGGAGAATGATGAGGAACATTGGCAGCCACCAGGACACAAAGAACAGATTAGTTCCCAGAATTGACCTGATAACGAAATCCGGCATAACAGACACCAAGAAAAAGCCTTCAGTATGCTGAAGAATCACACTAATGTAAATTACCCATGACACATATTGTAGAACATGGTACTGTATCATAATCTACAAACTGAAAAATGAAAACCCAATATTGAAGAAGCTGAGAGACAATAAGAAAGTAAACAAACATAGTCCTCATCAATATGAGTTTGCTCCAGAAGGTTACATACTATGACTAGAATGAAAGTTGAAGAATCAGACCTAGAAGGAAACAGACCCAATCATAAGGATGATTGAATGAGTAGTAGACCTGTTACCTAATATAAATTTAGAAATGAAAACTATACCTCAAGCCAAATCTTACCTAGTGGAAAACACCATGTAGGCCAACTTAAGAGGCCTTCACATTGAGTTCTCAATGTAAGTTCTCAATGTAACATGACTCACTATCCAAATACACACTAATGACAGGATAGCAAATAAAATTAAATGAGGCTTTGGAAGGGAAGAAAAGGTTGAGGTGTCTCAGTAGGCCAAGCCCCCAAGCCCAACATAGCAGAAATTCATTTACAGTGCGAGATGGCTAGTCCCTTGGACCTGTATTTCTGTAGTGATGGTGGTGGTGGTCAGGTTAAGTGGCTTGGTGGGACAGCTGGAAACTTTCAACAATGTTAATTAATGGTCCACAGTCAATGGGTTGCCAATTAATGTTTGGAAAGGCTTTTGAGTGTTTTGCAATGTGCTGTCTAACACCTATTTTGAGCTGGATTAAGTATTCTTCAGTGTTTCCCTAAAATCAGTCAAACACCCATGCAGAAACAGTTCAAAATCCCTGATCCCTTCTATGCAGTACCAGTGAACTGTCAATCTGCACTGGCTCAGCATAGACCCACTTTGGGGGGCCAAGGCCAGGAGGTTCTTTGTCTTTAAAAAAAAACATCACTGCAGCCTGCATTTTTTTGTAATAAAAAAATTTGTTTAAATACTGTAAATGCATATTGAGCTTACGACTCTGCAACTTTGGACACTTTAAAGTTGCATCGGTCGACTCTGGTCTTGAGTAGGTCGATGTCATGCTTCAGAGATTCCACTGGACTGGTCAGGTCAGCCTCAGAAACAGACGGAGATATTCGACCTCCAGCCACACCAAGCGCAAGATGTTTGATTGACTTGATTGGTTTGTTCATTCGACACGCTTTCTTGATATCAATCTCTGTGGTGTTGACACAGCCAGGCTAAAAAAGTAATATTATATTAGGAAGCTGAAACCATGATGAATCTGCATGTTTATACACTAAGTACAATGTATTATGTTAAATTATGAATGTGCATGTGGTATACTAGGTACTTACATTGTTTTAATGTAATATTATGTTAAATTGAGTATCTGCATTTCAGTCACTAAGTTTAGAAACTTAGTGTATAAAATGCAGTCATTGGCCACTCCAGGTAAAATTAAACTATCAAACTATCGATTAAAAAATGGCCTAAAATTATAAACACAATTTCTGACACTAATCATTATACTGTACTGTACAAGTTTTACATGTGCAAATATGGAAGATATCTAAAGAAAACCATAGGTTCGCTATGGTAAATGCCTTGCAGCTAAATTTTCCATACACAACTGTGTACTGTATGGTAAATTTGTGAAAGGGTTGAGGGTAACATGGCAGGCCCAGGAGCTTGAATTTGTTCCCTGTAGACACTACTGGGTGAATACTGGGCACAAACAAACACACAAATACAAGCATTTCTTGCCTATGAATTTCCCTCTATCATGTATCAGATGTACGTAATTTTTTATAAATATTATTGAGAAAATAAATTGGAGCAATGTGGGGGATTGGAGCCCTTGACCTGGGTACTCCCAAGCTGCACATCTTACCTTTGGACCATAACATAGAATAAGTTATGCAGCCTGGGATTTCACTGAATCCAAAAGGACATCTGGAGACCCCCCCTTGAAGGCTAACCAGGTTACATGTAAAACCTGCAATGGATTCAGTATATAGTGGCTTCCTGATGTCGTGTGGATTCAGTGGACTTGTTGCATAACTTATATCATGTCATGGTCCAGAGGTAAGGTGTTTGGTTTGTGAGTACTGTACTCTGGTCGAGGATTCAAATCTCCCGCATTGCTCCGACTGATTTTCTCATTGATATATCACTCTAGTGTAATATCCTTGTTTATATAAATATTATCATCATTTATTATTATTATTATTATTATTACACAAACACAATATCACAATTATTTAAAGTTAAATCTGAATTTAAATCAAATCACATTTAAAAATCAAATCACATGCCAATTCTTTGAGGAACACCTGGGAAAGACTCACCATGGGTCTATGCACATCCCAAAACGCCCGTTCCTGCGAGTCGAGGACCTTCCGTTCAAGTTTATCGCGCTTCTTGTCCACCTTGCTTTGGGCCTCTGCCTGAGGAAAGTGTAAAGTGTTCATAATACACTACTAACATATATAACATTACTAACACATACTTTAGGAAGCCAAGTATGTTCTTAACATTTAATTTGATCAGAGATGCAAATTCAGGCTTCAAAAGTAATAAGAGACCATTATATAACCTATCAACATGGTACCACTGTATTGCCTTCCTTAATAACATTATTGTATTGATTTTTGTAATGCAGTTCATGTCTCTAGGCTGAATCCAATAGGGTGGATGACTACTGGGTAATTGGGTAGATGGGTGACAGCTGGATGAAGTGAAGACTTTATCACTGCCACAGCAGTAATCCAGTGGTGCTCAAGTGTGCACAGTCTTATACTACTAACTATGGTGACCCTACCTGAACTATTGCCTACACCATCACCACCTACACCTTAACACCATAGTCTCTCCATCATCCCTACACCTTAACCATCTATACCATTACCACTTACACCATCACCAACTACACATTAACCACCTACACCATCACCAACTACACTTAACCACCTACACCATCACCAACTACACCTTAACCAACTACACCTTAACCACCTACACTCACCTGCATGAAAATAAACTCCCATTTTCTGGAGAACATTTTCTGTAGCCTGGCCAGGTTCTCGGCCTCATAGTCCGCCAGCTCCAGCCTCGCCTTATTCTGCATCGTTCTCTTACACAGGTACACGGCTGTAGGGGAGAGGCGACACGTCTTAGACATGTATACACGTGTGTGGGAGATGACACGTCTTAGACATGTATACACGTGTGTGGGAGATGACACGTCTTAGACATGTATACAGGTATGTGGGAGATTACACGTCTTAGACATGTATACACGTGTGTGGGAGATGACACGTCCTAGACATGTATACACGTGTGTGGGAGATGACACGTCTTAGACATGTATACACGTGTGTGGGAGATGACACGTCTTAGACATGTATACACGTGTGTTGGAGATGACACGTCTTAGACATGTATACAGGTGTGTGGGAGATGACACGTCTTAGACATGTATACACGTGTGTGGGAGATGACACGTCTTATACAGACACATTACTGTATAGTAATGGCTAGTTAACAAATAGAATACACTAGGAAGTGATGTATTGGAGGCAGACTCCATACACAGTTTCAAATATAGATATGATAGAGCCCAGTAGGCTCAGGTTGCCAACATATGGACAGCAGTCTCCGTGGTGTAGTGGTAAGACACTCGCCTGGCGTTCCGCGAGCGCTTTGTCATGGGTTCGTGGGTTCGGGGAGGATTAACTGGGCGCAAATCCTTAACTGTAGCCTCTGTTTAACTCAACAGTAAAATGAGTACTTGGTTGTAACAACGATTCTTCGCGGCGGGGATCGTATTCCAGGGACCTGCCCGAAACCCTACGCGTACTAATGGCTGTACAAGAAGATGATTGATCGATTGATGAAGATTAAACCACCCAAAAGGTGGCACGGGCATGAATAGCCCGTAAGTGGTGGCCCTTTTGAGCCATTACCAGTATCAAGAGCTGATACTGGAGATCTGTGGAGGTGCGACTGCACCCTGCGTGACGGGAGATGTCTCCCGTGTGTACAAGAATGTAACAACTCTTGTATATATCTCAAAAAAAAAAACAGAGTCCCAGTGTAGCGGCCATTGTTGCCATCAGCGAGTGGCCAATATTGCCATCAGCGAGTAGCCAGTGTTGCCATCAGCGAGTGGCCAATATTGCCATCAGCGAGTAGCCAGTGTTGCCATCAGCGAGTGGCCAGTGTTGCCATCAGCGAGTAGCCAGTGTTGCCATCAGCGAGTAGCCAGTGTTGCCATCAGCGAGTGGCCAGTGTTGCCATCAGCGAGTGGCCAGTGTTGCCATCAGCGAGTAGCCAGTGTTGCCATCAGCGAGTGGCCAGTGTTGCCATCAGCGAGTAGCCAGTGTTGCCATCAGCGAGTAGCCAGTGTTGCCATCAGCGAGTGGCCAGTGTTGCCATCAGCGAGTAGCCAGTGTTGCCATCAGCGAGTGGCCAGTGTTGCCATCAGCGAGTAGCCAGTGTTGCCATCAGCGAGTGGCCAGTGTTGCCATCAGCGAGTAGCCAGTGTTGCCATCAGCGAGTGGCCAGTGTTGCCATCAGCGAGTGGCCAGTGTTGCCATCAGCGAGTAGCCAGTGTTGCCATCAGCGAGTGGCCAGTGTTGCCATCAGCGAGTGGCCAGTGTAGCGGCCAGTGTTGCCATCAGCGAGTGGCCAGTGTTGCCATCAGCGAGTGGCCAGTGTTGCCATCAGCGAGTGGCCAGTGTTGCCATCAGCGAGTGGCCAGTGTTGCCATCAGCGAGTGGCCAGTGTTGCCATCAGCGAGTGGCCAGTGTTGCCATCAGCGAGTGGCCAGTGTTGCCATCAGCGAGTGGCCAGTGTTGCCATCAGCGAGTGGCCAGTGTTGCCATCAGCGAGTGGCCAGTGTTGCCATCAGCGAGTGGCCAGTGTTGCCATCAGCGAGTGGCCAGTGTTGCCATCAGCGAGTGGCCAGTGTAGCGCCTCGCTGTTTCTCCTTTAAGCACAAATCGAACGGCTGTGAGCGTCCGTGTGCCAAACTTCTCATGACCGGGATTTGGCAACAGCGGTCACTTGCCAGGTTAAGGATCTTTACATATTCTGCTCCTCTGCGGTTAGGCCCCAATTACCTTGTATCTCCTGGTGACTTGTTCTCTCTCCTCCTCTCAATTCTCTCTCCCTCCCTTCTAATCCCCCATTTCTCCCTCCCCCTCTTCCTGTCTCTCCCTTCCCCTCTCTCCGTCTCTCCGTCTCTCCCTCTTCCCCGTCTTTCCGTCACTAAATATTACCATTCTGGTAATGACAGGAAGTTTGACCGCACTGGCAATACCGCATGACAGTAGTGGATACATTTAAGCAAAAAATTATATTATTGTTTCGCGAAATAAAAATGTCGAAATATTTGTATTTAATTTTTTAATGAAATATGTGTTTGTACCGCGTAGCCTAACCTGTCGTCATCAGGCGGGAGAAATCACACAAACAAAAATGTATCTGAATATTGTTTATATTCAAAAACTTTTGATTCATAGATATTTGTACATTTATAATGGAGTTGGTTTACATGAAAAAAAATTCCAGTGCATTATTTGTTCAGATATTTAACCAACTCGGGCATATATTGGTCAGATATTGAACTGCATGTAGCACAGAGAACTGTATGGTACACAGGGCACACTGTATGGTACACAGGGCACACTGTATGGTACACAGGGCACACTGTATGGTACACAGGGCACAGTGTATGGTACACAGGGCACAGTGTATGGTACTTAAACACTTATCTGTACACCAAGCTGTCCCTTCCCTCCTCCGTGCACACTAGTTACCACCCACCTCCCATGTCCCTATATCTTCCTCAGATATAGCAGAGGCTATATCTTCTATATCTTCCCCTCCCATAGCAGAGGCACGGAGGAGAGAGACAGCATGGGGGTGGAGAGAGACAGCACGGGGGAGGAGAGAGACAGCATGGGGGTGGAGAGAGACACCAGGTGAAGGGAGAGGAGGGAAGGTAGGAACAACCCAACTAGACAATACACCATAAAGTCGTCCAGGTAATATCTTGAATGCTTCTCTGTTCCTCGTCTCTGAAGAATTTTATCTTTTAATGTTTTCACTGTTAGATCTGTAGGCCGGACTGTTGTCATTGTAACATTTTTATATTATCATTAACATTTGTTTTAACTATTTTTATTACTGGCATGAGTGTGGAAGCCTAAGGTAAAGAAGTCATTTGGCAAATTGGACTTTCTGTATTGGGGTTTTAAAGACGCAGGCTTTGGACTTTCTAGAACTTGGGTCTCAGATATTTATATATAAGTGTTTCTGTAAGTCTTCCAAGTTGAAGCAACACTTGTCAAGACTAATAGCAGCATCATTGTATAATTAGCTGTAAATACAGAGCTATTGAAGTGGATCAATCTCTGTAACTAGCTGACATTATAGTTATATGGTGTGATGGATTGATGTAGCTGTGACTGCTATAATGTCCGCTGACGTCTGATAAATATCTTTTATGGCCTCTATAATACTTCTTGCTCCACCACTCACAGGATGAGTATGGGGTGCACAATAACTACCACTCACAGGATGAGCGGTAGTGCCCCCCCCCTCCCCTTGCTTCAAGCTTCCATAGGGGAATGTAGTTTCCGATACCACATCACAACGATGGAATACAATCCTATTTCATATTTTATTAATCCAATCAGGGGGAACATTATGACATTTCAATGCAGGCTCACAAAAGATCTATTGCAAATATTGCAAGATTGATCGTGCAGTGCGCCACTCATTTCCATCATGGACAGAATGCTTTGAGGTCGAGTGGTATTATAGGCACGAGAACCCTGGGAAATCAGCGGGAGTATGTGGAGTCTTGTGGTGTTGAGTCCTATACTACTTGGATCTTCCTGGGGATCCCTTGGGGTTGATGCTTCGCTCCTGCATCTTCAATGTCAACGTTGGTTTATACAACTCTGGTTCGAGTTACTCTTTATATATATATATATATATATATATATATATATATATATATATATATATATATATATATATATATATATATATATATATATATATATGTTAACATGAGCATATTGACCAGACCACACACTAGAAGGTGAAGGGACGACGATGTTTCGGTCCGTCCTGGACCATTCTCAAGTCGATTGTCGACTTGAGAATGGGCCAGGACGGACCGAAACGTCGTTAGAGTTAATAGTCTACAGAGTTAATAGTCTACATGTAAACTGGCAAATAAACCTTTGTCGTAAACAAAGATTAATCTCAGGTTTAATGTTAATGTGAGGAAGTAGTCAGTGTCGAACGCAACCTATGTGCGACCAGCTCTACAAAATGCATCTCCAGACGTTTAGGGCCTCAAGCGAGAGACCCAAAACGTGCTATAGAACCCCAACCTCACAACACTAGATAAGAGGGACTGAGGAGCCATGATAACATGAGAGATACTGTACAAATTTACCATATTGCATAGATATGAGATGTTTAGGAGGAGCAATGATAATGGGTTGAGAGGCGGGAATTAAGAGCAATATCTTAACTCCCGCAAGGACAACCAGGTTAGTACACTAATGTCTAGTATATGAAGCACAACATTTATTTTTATTAAGCTAAATTCTCTTACTTAAAATATCAGTTTGCTTTATTATTTTATGTTTAATTTGTCAGCGTCTCTATGTTATGCTGAAGTTTGTATTAGTCAATGTTTATGGCTGTTGTGAATGTCAAGTTTTTCCCGCGCGTTTGGTGAGGATGGCGCGCGGCCCCGCATGGCCCCCCGGCAGGTGACGGTCGCTGGGCGTGTTGCTGCGCGCCTCACCTACCACCCCTCAAATACAAATATGTATTTGTATCTCACTCTTGTCACCTTAATTACCTCACGTGTCCTTCCTGTAACCCGGTACAGTAGTCGACCTATGGCGAGTAATTGTTTCACGTTGTATTATGTCCCGTTCTCCGGTAACTTAATAAATGTAATGTATCCACACTCTTTGTTTGTGTTTAAAGTCCCGCAATAAAATGAATACATAAATAATCGCATCACTGAGTGTTCCCTCTCGTCTTTGAGGGGTCTGAACAATGAACATGTATTCTGCATTACACACAGAAATCACAATTGCGTGATGCATCAAATGAACAAATCCACAAGGGCCGTGACGAATCCATTCACCTCTATACCGAGGTGAATGGAAGATTATCAGAGTATATGATGCAGCGCCTCCCACAGTAAGGAAGCCACTAACATTCTAGTTCAACAACGTGAAGCAAGACAAATAGAGATTATCTTTGTTTATCAACAATCGTATGGCACCAAGAACCAGGTGCGAGACATCAATGTCGGAAAGTTGGTAAACAAAATCTTAGCCAACTTCGCATATTATAGCATTACACGCACTCCATGGGGTTAATGTGTGCCTGGCCTCCCTCCTACCTCCCACTGCACTGGTTTGAGGTGCATAATAAACTGCACAAAATACAAGATGAACTAGATGAGACTTACCATAGTCGGAGTTCTCAGGTTCCCAGCAGTTGGAGGGCCAGAAGTATGGGGTCTGGGGGAGACGAGCAACAGTTTACAACGCTAATTATACAATTTACCTCATGTTTCACAGTGTAATATATTAGTGTAAATATGGTGTAGTTGACCCTCCAACCCTCCCTCACTCTTTAACCTCTACCTCTAACCTCTCCCTCTATCCTCCCCCCTAAGCTGTCTCTCTATCCTCCCTAACCTGCCCCTAACGTCCTCCTCTAACATCCATCCTTCCTCCCCTAACCTAACCTCCAATATCTCCCTCTCACCTGAAATCTGTAGAAGGTGGAGTCGTTCTTGACGGTGAGGACGTGGTCGTCGATGGGGAAGAAGTAGCCGTGAGCGGAGACCAGGTGGGCCAGGTGCAGGGCCTCGGCTGTGGGGCAGGAGGAGCACGGGTCTGTTACCACCACCATCATCACCACACCACTCTCTCTTCCCACACCTCTCTCAGCCACACCTCTCTCTCAGCCACACCTCTCTCTCAACCACACCTCTCTCTCAGCCACTCCTATCTCTCAACCACACCTCTCTCTCAGCCACACACCTCTCTCTCAACCACACCTCTCTCTCAGCCACACCTCTCTCTCAGCCACACACCTCTCTCTCAGCCACTCCTATCTCTCAACCACACCTCTCTCTCAGCCACACACCTCTCTCTCAACCACACCTCTCTCTCAGCCACACCTCTCTCTCAGCCACACACCTCTCTCAGCCACACACCTCTCTCTCAGCCACTCCTATCTCTCAACCACACCTCTCTCTCAGCCACACACCTCTCTCTCAACCACACCTCTCTCTCAGCCACACACCTCTCTCTCAGCCACACCTCTCTCTCAGCCACACCTCTCTCTCAGCCACACACCTCTCTCTCAGCCACACCTCTCTCTCAGCCACACACCTCTCTCTCAGCCACACACCTCTCTCTCAGCCACACACCTCTCTCTCAGCCACACACCTCTCTCTCAGCCACACACCTCTCTCTCAGCCACACACCTCTCTCTCAGCCACACACCTCTCTCTCAGCCACACACCTCTCTCTCAACCACACCTCTCTCTCAGCCACACACCTCTCTCTCAGCCACTCCTATCTCTCAACCACACCTCTCTCTCAGCCACACACCTCTCTCTCAACCACACCTCTCTCTCAGCCACACACCTCTCTCTCAGCCACACACCTCTCTCTCAGCCACACCTCTCTCTCAGCCACACACCTCTCTCTCAGCCACACACCTCTCTCTCAACCACACCTCTCTCAGCCAGAATAATTAGACCAGCATTTCTCAACCTAGTTTGCATGGAACTTCAAGGTAACTAGCACTTTTGCAAGAGATAATAAAAAGGCTAAGCCTTATGATATGAATGTATATTTTAGTCATTGCTGTGTTTAATATTTCTCATTTAACCAGTTTTCAAGAGCAAAGACAGAAATTGTCTCCTTTCAGTTGACTTTGAAATCCGTGTGTGTATATCTGAAGTACAACCCGGAAATATTTCAAGGGTACAAAGGTTGAGAAACAATGAACTAGACCAATAAAGACGAAACCAAAGCAGCCGAGTAAAGATGAGTAGAATTAAAGTTACGTACACAAATGCTGATGAAATTACAAATACAGAAGTAGAGTTACAAGAGAAGGTGACAGTGATAGAAGCGCACCCACACATTATTGCAATAATGGAAACCAAAACTGACAAGTGGTATAGGAAATACAATCTTCCTATGAGTATTTCAAGTAATAAGAGATAAGGTGAACAGGGATGGATGTGGTGTAACCCTTCTGATAAAACTGCACTGGAGCTTTGACAGGGAATATTCTCAAAAGGAAACTAATCAACAGTTTCTCACTATTCTTACAAGGAATAGCAACAGTTGGGAACATGAAAATAGTGGTAGCACTGATTTACACTCCCCCACTAAACAATAGAAGGCGTAACGTACAATATAATAAATGCAAGAGACTTGCCTAAAGTAATAGAAAACGTAGCCACAGTAGTGAGCTAGGACTCTGGAATAGATACATAAACAAGATAAATAAGGACCGGCACAGGGGGTGATGAGACATGGAGAGATCAACTGGCACACACAGCAGACACACTTCTTGCAACAGCATATTAGAGTATCAACAACAATAGTGGGAGAGGACCCACCAGCAACATTAGACTTGGTGTGTGTGCCCCAAATGAAGCAGTTGTCGAGAAGTTAGAGTATGAGATGCCCCCCCTAGGAGCTAGCCCACACTGCATTATCCTCCTCGAGTACACACTGCAGCTAAAGGAGTTGGATAGACCAAGAGACACGAGGAAGAACATGAGAGACTACAGACGTGGGAACTGCAGTAGGGTGAGGGACTCTGACAAGTCCAGTGTGAGGGACAGAACTGCAAGGGGAAACAAGAAATGAGATGGTTAAAGTTATTGCTCAGAAATGTACGAAGCTGTACATGTCACTCAAGCAGGAAGAATTGTTAGATAATGAAGATGGGAAAAAGAGAAAGAAGAGCATGCAGCACCGACCTGGAACCCATACCTTGTGATGTATAAAACTAAAACTGAAATAGTATAGAAGTTTGCAAGATTAGTGCCAGAAGTAAGAGGGCAAAGCTATGAGCACAGGCTGAGGGTACTGGACCTCATAATCCTGGAAGACAGACGAAACACAGTGGATATGATCACAACATACAAGATAATACGAGAAATTGACTAGCTGGACAGTGACGGCCGCTTTAAATTGAGACAAAGTAGGACAAGTGGAAGCTGGAAAAACAAAAGAGTCGAAGAAAATAGCGGTACAGTGTACTGGGGGTCAACAAGAGGTATGCACTTGAGGGAAGAAGCTGTAGAAGCCACCTCCATCCACAAAATTAAAGCCAGATTCGACAAGGAGTTTAAACACGGGAACAGTTCAATATAAAGCAACAGGTACAACAAGGCTGGGAGGCGGGGCATAAAAATTCAACCTCACTTCCTCGTAGTCACTGGTAGCTAAGTAGTTATAGGTAATAAGTAAGAACCTTTACTTACAGACGTACCGAGTATATCCGGTAATTAACAGTCTAGCCCAATTGGTACAATAAAATGATCGCCGGTAAAAATGTTAGTGTACCGTACGAACCTAAACAACCCGCCTAACCTATCGCGGCCGATCCTCAGAAAACATCAATATTGCGATGTTTAAATGTTTGAGTAATACGTCGCCTTTATAACGGATTGGTCGATGCCGTAATAAATGATAGGCAATAGGACTGGTTGGGACCCGAGTATGTTAACCCCGCCACCACCACAACACCTCTACACTCTGGCCACCAGGAGGTGACACCTGCATGTCAACTCTGGCCACCAGGAGGCGACCAGTACCAAGTTCTTTTTTTGTTAGTAAAACTAATAGCATTGCATATGTGTATAATAATGTTATTTGATTTATATAACATTACAGAGCATCTGAGTGTAATAATTACATAGCAGGATATTATATATATATATTATATATATAAATAATATATTATTTATATATATAATATATAAAGAGGGAACCATGAACCAGCCTTACACCACTGGTGGCACCATAGCTATACACTAACGTCACCACAAAATATATTATATACCCTGACTTTACCATCCTATATCATCCACATTATACACACACACTAGCAATTCCCCTCCGCCTCAAAAAACAAAAAAATTAACTAGTGAGAAACCCTGCAAATCTCCTGAACAAAATTCCAGTCTAGGTCTGCCTAGCCAGATGAGAAACTGGTGAGAAGTCGTCCGTTCATCCCACACACACACACTGCTGCATCCTTTTGTGGCCCCTGACGTCATAACACACACTAATCAGGGTGAGGACATTGATTTTCGGACTCCGGGGACAATGTCTACTGGAAATCTATAGGATTAGCATTTCTCAGAACCGTCCAAGAGGAAGATTAATGAGGAGAAGAGCTGGAGCGTGGAGGACGCCCAGACTTATTAGTGTGGGGGGGGGGGGGAGGGGGAGTAAAGAGGGTGGAGAGGTACAGGTGAAAGTAAAGTTTAGAAATGGGGAAATACAGTGAGAGTTCTGACAGCTGGCGGGCTGTCCGCCTTGCTGACACGGTGTGTGGGTGTTGACGGCTGGCGGGCTGTCCGCCTTGCTGCCACGATGTGCGAGTGTTTTTATATACAGTATATATAAATGTTCTATATAAACATACGGAGAGAGCGAGAGATGAGTGCGTCCCAATCACGTTGTCATATTAATGTTAAAACAGGATTTATACTGTATAAACTTTCCAATTACTCCAATTTATACCTTAAGTCACTAGTTTTATTTCTCTATTTAAGATTAAAGGTTTACAATCGTAACTTTAAAATTCACTGCCAATCTTGTTAGCTTAAAGACCGGTCGGAAACAGCAAGCGCTCATGGCTTTGCTAAATCTGTGTTTACACAAGAAAATATTAGGGAAGTGTTTGAGTGAGTGGTTACATACACACCATGTTGTTGTTGTTATAGATTCAGCTACTCGGAACAAGTTCCAAGTAGCACGGACTATGGTGAGTCTGTAGTGTACTTACCTGGCACAGGAGCGGGGCAAGTAGCACGGACTATGGTGAGTCTGTAGTGGACTTACCTGGCACAGGAGCGGGGCAAGTAGCATGGGCTATGGTGAACCCGTAATGGACTTACCTGGCACGGGAGTCAATGACTTACTCTGATCTTCGACGTCCAGGTTCCTCATCATCCAGGCGACGAGGTCAACGCCGGTGAAGACGGAGGGAATCTTGGTCATGAAGCTCTTGACCGTCTTCACCGGCACACCCGTCTCCTCCTGCTGCATCTGCTCCACGATCTTCTCCATCTGAAGCAACAACACTTTACTGGAAAGGTCATTCGTCTGGCATTCAGCCTTTTATAACTTAATTACCTCAGTATAAACATTACCGAGTCTGTTGCTTTAACATTTCGCGAGTTGTAATAATTCCCGTTGTCAGAGACAGAAATACTAGGCTACCGAGGTCCCTGCCATCCCCTTAGGCTAACTGAGAACGAGAATGTTACCCAGGATGAAGGTGGAACACGAGGTATAGCGCAGCAAGAGTCATGGAGGAACAGAAGACATGGGTCAAGAAGAATGAAGTGAGAGGAGGAACAAGAGAGAGAGATGGAGGTACTGACCCGCCTATACACGATGTGGTTGGGTGTTTCCTCGACTGGTGCAGCCGCCCCGGTGGTCGCTTGCCCATTGTTGGCCTCAGTCTTCTTCCGCACACCCACGCGATCTGTTGACATGCTGACCATACCTCACTCAGCCATAATACCCTGCAACAGTACATCAACATCTCTTATACTTACACATTACTAGTAACCCAACCCCACACATGATATCAAAGTGAAGACTGAATAAATCCACAAGGGCCGTGATGAGCTTCGAACTTACGGCCAGGATGATCCCAGACGCGCCTTAATCTACTGCGCCACGACACGGTACAAGAACAAGAGAGACTCTGGGATCCGTGTGAGAGCAGTAGCAAATCCCGGTTACAATTCTTATACCATGTTGTGGCGCGGTCGATTAAGACGCGTCTGGGATAATCCTGGACGTACCCTTGTGAATTTATTCATTTGATATATCACGCTATTGTGATTTGTGTATTGTAAAGTGACGACTCTTCTTATATTTCTGTTTTCAGGCTCTCAACATGTGCCTTCATGCTTGCTTTATACTGCCTTAATATACACACCTGGCTGTTGCTTGTCAGGTCCGGTCCACTTAGCTGGACCACTTGTGGACCTTCTCGACACTATTGTTTATGTATTATATTAAACTGTAACTAACTGGCTAATCAAAACTTGCTTAGCCAAATTAATTTAGGGGTTCGGTTCCTAAGCCTTGTTAGACTTCAACACAAGACCTACAACACTACAACACAAGACACCGTAGATCAGAATACATACATTCATACATACATACACTGTACAGTATACTGGGTAGCTTTTGCGCCCTTGTGGTCCGCAGTATTGTGACCGGAACAGGTAATTAAATCTGGTAATTATTTGTTAGTATGATGCCCCGTCATTCTTGGCAAGGATGTGGTCTATGTTCACTGGTGGGTACAGTTACCTTGTGTAGGTTCCGGGGATCAACAGCCCCGCGGCCCGGTCTCTAGCCAGGTATAACCCCCCGCCCCCATCAACCTGACCGTTCAGGTAATAATACACCGTATTTTGAGGTCACAGTACCCAGCGGGCACATACCCAGGTGCTGTGAGTCACAGTGGCTTGCAAAGTGTCCACGCGAGGCTCCGTAGGTCAGCTGTCGGTGCCTGGAGTTGCACCGTTCTCCTACAGTGTTTGTTGTCTCTTGTGGCGACTCACAAGGACGGCCTATGTCCGTAGTTATACCCACAGCCACACCCGTAGCCACACCCACAGTCACACCCACACCCAGTCACACCCATAGCCACACCCACACTCATATCTACACCCATAGCCACATCTACAGCCACACCCACACTCATATCTACACCCACAGCCACACCCACACCCATAGCTACACCCACAGCCACACCCACAGCCACACCCGTAGCCACACCCACACCCACCAGTACTATGGATGAAATATACAAACTATAACACATCCTCTCAGCGAATACGTCGCATTTTAAACGGAATCACCAATGCGTTAAAATTGCGACGTATTAGTACAAATTGAAGCACCGAAATATTGACGTGTTACATGCTTCGGCATCGTACCTTACATTTTTAGATTGGCAGAACACTTGTATTTTTTCAGAGTGGCAAGTTGAGACAAGGATCTGATTGGGCAGTGTAATCTGCTCATAACCGATTGGTCATGGATTCGATTCTCGGGCAAGTCGAAACATTTGGGCACATCCTTTCACCTGATGCATCCAGCCCGTCCTCCAAACAAAGACCCAAAAGTGATTCCATGCACCCGCTAACCTCCCCCCCCCCCCGCCAACCCCTCAGGTGTTTATGAATGAAAAACGGTTTACACACGACTCACAACTGATGACATTCGAACACTTCCGGAACAAGTGCTTCACTGACGACTTTTGTTCGAACCACAACGGTGTAAACAGCCCGTCCTCCAAAGACCCAAAAGTCATTCCATGCAACCACCAAACCCCCTGTTTATGAATGAAAAACGGTTAACACACAACTCTACTGATTTCGTCCGAACACTTCCGGAACAAGTGCTTCACTGACGAATTTGGTTCGAACCACAACGCTGTAAATGCTTCACTCACGTACTACAAATGCAAATAATCGCCAACAGAACCTAAATACCTAACCTATATATGCACAATATGCTATTATAATAATTTGCATTTGAGAAAATTCCCGTTTTGAATGAACAGCATGTTAAAATTTATGAATGCGTCTGTGGGTTCGACCGCTGGATGGAATGGACTTTTAAAAACTGTGATGTTTGAATACCAAACATATCAACACCAAATTGTATATGTTGTTGATGTGTGTGAGGTCACAATGAGGCCATAATATACATGCCGATATTGGCTTTAGACCAAGCGGCACCGCTCCTGTGCCGGGTAAGTCCACTACGGGCTCACCATAGCCCGTGCTACTTGGAACTTAAGTAGCTGAATCTATAACAACAACAGGCTTTAGACCTCACTAGTGATGAGGCTGTTGGTGGAATGAATCATGGACCACCTCCCCCTCTCTCCCTCTCCGTCTCTCTCCCTCTCTCCCTCCCTCCCTCCACCGCAGGTTACAAAACAGTGGTTGAGGGTGTCGGGAGCATGTTACTGTACACTTATCGACCTGATCGTTATCACGGTAGTAATTACTTCACCGTCAAGCCGTCAGTCACCGTCACCTTCTGTCACCTACACCCGTCATATCAAACCGTCCCTCACCACGCTAACACAGTTTACAGTGACAACCAGATTTGTGAAATTGTTTGAAATATACACTGTATATACATATCCGAATTTAGAGCCTCCACATAAATGATTATATATATAAATATTCCCTTCGGAAATCTTAATTTCAAAATGAATAGGAAAACCACTGATATAACAAACATCTTGCTAAAATTCTTTACTTTTAAGTAAAATCCGTCACGTTTAAAACACTTCTCGTATTCATCATCAGATCTATTTACAAAAGACGTCACAATAAAATAAGGAGCAAACAAAGAACTCGTACTGAAAAAAATACGTCTCAGAAGAAAAATATACAAAACGACACTAGTTATAAAATCAAACACACTGCTTAACTTACGTGAAGTGATCAAAGTAACACTTGATAATTATCACATGGAGATTCAAAGCTAATGCAAAAATTATAATAATAATAATAACGACACACTTACAGATAATGTATATAAAACACAAGCAAATTTAAAACAATTATAGAATACTAGCTGAAAACTTTGTAAGAACCATAAATATCAAACAAAACTAAACATAACAAAATATTATATGTATTAAACAAATACAATACAAAATATCAATACTTGAAATAAGTAAAAAAAAAGATAATTCAAGGGAGACTAAAGCAAATAACAAACATGTCAGCATTAACTATAAATAAAATTACAAGGCCTACTGTGCATTATACAGTGTACAATTAAACAGCTAAAACATTGTTATTTACTAGAGGCCGCAGCTCCCTGATATATAAGGATTCCATTATTCTCAAATCCGACTGGCTATTCACGCAAGTGTCTAAAATCTTAAAATCGGATTCCAGCAGAGAATGATTTAACTCATAACAATGCTTTCTAATCTCCGAGAATGTTGGTTTAGATAATGATAATCCAGTCCTAAATTATACTCCCCGGTGCTCCAGTATCCTAATCTTAAAGTTCCGAATGTATCCAGCATTACAGGTGGAACAAATATATATATATATATATATATATATATATATATATATATATATATATATATATATATACATATATATATATATATATATACCCTACATCAGGGGGGGTAGGCATTTTACCTTTAAATTTAAAATAGGAGCCTATTGACAAAATATATCTAAAGTCTACTTAAGTATAACAGTGCTGTAGAAGTTTCCTTAATCGACTTCTTACAGAAAAACTAATGGTACCGTAAAAAAGTAATTTGATATATTTTTATATCTCTTTCTACTGTAGTAATCTTACAAGAAGGGTGGAACTTCTTATTTAAGAAATTCCTTATAAAAGTATATACCATATGAGCAGGGTAACCATTATTTGAAGAAAAAATTCCAAAGGAAATTAAATTCTTGATCAAAGAGACCAGTTTGAGCATAAAACAAAGGCTTTATTCAGTAGAGTATTAATTGCATTTTTTCTTAAAAATATATGGAACGAAAGAGTTAAAATTTAAACCTCCAGTAAAAGTTGGTTTACCAGAAATAATAGTGTTAAAACCATTAAGGATACTTGACATCAAGAAACGACAACGAGTTATCCCTTTCACACTCTGTAGTGAAACGTGTATTACAATGTTGAGCAGTAAGATACTCTCTAAATATCTCAACATTAGATTGGTCTTGAATAACAAATAAGTGTCATCCATATATCTCCTGTACATGACTCCTGGTTTACAGTCCAAAGGACATTTATCGAGCCAATTTCTCTCATGAATGCTAAAAAAATCAAATTCAAATTCAAATGTTTATTTAGGTAAAGTACATACATACAAGGGGTGATACAAATATTGATGAATTTATATTAATTAGCAAGTGCGGGGCCTAATGGAGAACCCATTGTTACGCCATTAATTTGTTTATAATATTTATAATTAAACATAAAGACAGTCTATAACTGTCAACTCTTAACAACTGTCTAAAATCTTACTAGAAAGTCCTGACACTAAATCAGTGTCAGCAAATAATTGATTTACACAAAAGTCAAAAGTTTCCAACAGAGGAATATTAGTGAAATAATTCCACATCAACACTAGCCATTATAGTAAGGAAATCAAAATTCAATGAGGAAATTTCCTTTTCAAAATCTTGAGAGTTTCTCACAGTAAATTCATTACAAGTTAATGATTCTAATAACGAAACTAAAAACTTTGCCAATTTTGTAATTAAAAGTACGTTAATTAAAAGTTAATTTGTCAAAGCAACACAAATAATAAATAGTTTTCCGGTTTGTGCAACTTAATAGTGCCGATTTCTTCGTTCTAATTGCGTTGTTTGTCGGTATATATATACTATAGCTCTCATCGTTACTATATCACGGGATAACATGTTACTATAACACTATTTTGTCTCCCGTCATGCAGGGTGCAGTCGCACCTCCACAGATCTCCAGTATCACCTCTTGATACTGGTAATGGCTCAAAAGGGCCACCACTTACGGGCTATTCATGCCCGTGCCACCTTTTAGGTGGCTTAATCTTTATCAATCAATCAATCAATCGTTACTATAAGTACTACGACAACAGGAGGATGGGCTTCATACTCTCTCAATCTATTGGTAATCATTTTCAGCATCTTTTTGGTTCCCCCCAATGTTATCTCTCCCGTTAAGTATTTTATGTTTTTTTATAGTCTCTCCCTCTCTCTCTCTCTCTCTTCATTTTCTCTAATGACATCAGGTCATTAGAGAAAATGGAGGTCATTCCTTCAGTCTTTCTTCATACCACATCCTCAGGAATTTCAGGATCAGCCTCGTTGTAAACCTCTGAAATTGTTCTAGGTTTCTTAAGTGTGTTTTTTTATATGTGGGCTGCACAATTAGGCGACACATACTGGTCTCAGGCTGGCGGTGTACAGTGATCGAAGCACACGTTGTGCATTAGTGTTTTTTTAAATGCCTTAAGTGTCCTTAAGGCATTAAGGACATTCCTTAATGTGTCCTTAAATTCAAAAGGACAATTCCTTAAGTGTCTCCTCCCTATTTCCTTCCCTTTCTGTTCCTGTCTTTAAATATTAACAGGACATTGGCCATCCTCCAACAGCAGGGTAACACTACCTTCTAATGAGCAAATTCTACTTGAAAATTCTGAAATTCTGAAAATTCAAATTACTACCTTCTAAATTCCTTCATTAAGGACACCAGAGCTGGAGGTATACCGAGGGCCTGAGACGCCTCTGTTAACAACTATGGTGAAATATTATCTGGTTCATAGCTTTATACTCTTCTAATGATGCTAGTTGTCTCATTGTTTACAGTAATTACCTCATTGTAAATACAGGATGAGAGCTACGCTCGTGGTGTCCCGTCTTCCCAGTACTCTTTGTCATATAGTTAGTGTGTGTGTGTACTCACCTAATTCACCTAATTGTGGTTGCGGGGGTTGAGCTCTGGCTCTTTGGTCCCGCCTCTCAACTGTCAATCAACTGGTGTACAGGTTCCTGAGCCTACTGGGCTCTATCATATGTGTGTACTCACCTAGTTGTACTCACCTAGTTGTGTTTGCGGGGGTTGAGCTCTGGCTCTTTGGTCCCGCCTCTCAACCGTCAATCAACAGGTGTACAGATTCATGAGCCTATCGGGCTCTGTCATATCTACACTTGAAACTGTGTATGGAGTCAGCCTCCACCACATCACTTCCTAATGCATTCCATTTGTCAACCACTCTGACACTAAAAAAGTTCTTTCTAATATCTCTGTGGCTCATTTGGGCACTCAGTTTCCACCTGTGTCCCCTTGTGCGTGTTCCCCTTGTGTTAAATATTGTGTGTGTGTGTGTGTGTGTGTGTGTGTGTGTGTGTGTGTGTGTGTGTGTGTGTGTGTGTGTGTGTGTGTGTGTGTGTGTGTGTGTGTGTGTGTGTGTAGGTTATCACCAATCAACGGTATACGACACAGAAATTCAAAAACTAATTTTAATTTAATAAAAAAGTGAGATGATGCCGCCCCCGTGGGACGAGTGACGTCACACCTGCAGGTGACGTAATTGCTTATTACGTAACTCAGCGTATTTTCTAAACTGTCAGTCTTCAATACGGACTCATGTTAAAGGTGAAGATCCGGCCTGGGAGGTGTAAATATATGTCACAATGCAAGACATACACAAATGAATAAACCTGAGACTACTTAAAGAATATAATAAGACAAGCGCAAAGTTATTCACAAAAACTACTATACCGAGCGGTCGCGGTAATTGCCAAGAAAGTGTCACACTGAACAACTGACACATTCCCTGTCCAACGATGTCACCCGCGCTTACACATGGCGGACATCTTCAAGGTAAACTGTGTACACTTGGGAAATAGTTTACCTGCATTACAAAAGTATACAGTGAATACGTCGAGCTTGCAGCTCTGCATCAGTATGTTAAAATGAGTTTGAGAGAGAAAAAAGAGAAATCCTCTAAAAGTGAATTAATGAGAGGTCTGGTGGAGCGGCGCGCTGCTTCTGCTCTTCAGGCAGACAAGTAAGTAATTATCAAAAGAAGGCACCAAGCCGGGAAGGTTATGTAGCACCACCAAATGTGCGGGAATAATCAGAGGGCGCTAATTATCACCAAGGATGCCAATACGAGAACAAAAGCGCATAAGGCGAACGATATCAAAAGTATCCGATTCACCAAGAATTCTATCAAGGGACAAGCGACCGCTAGGGGCGGTCGGAAAGCAAGACACGCTTGTACTGAAAGTCAGGACATTCAACAAGGATATGCACGACTGTAAGAGGGACAATGCAGTTAAGACAATAAGGAGCAGGGCGGCGCTCCACTAAGTGTCCTTGAGTTAAGCGCGTATGGCCAATACGCAACCTTGCCAGAGCTGTTTCCCATCGCCGGTTATGGTGGTAGGAGGACGGCCACGGGGACACACTACTCTTTAGAGTACGCAGTTTGTTACCAGTAACAGAAGACCAACAACCCTGCACCAGGACACAGCGCGAGAGTGTGTTGTGAAGACCGTGCAAGATAGCGTAGATAGTAGCGATCACGGCGGTCCTGGAGAGACAGGAAGCCAGTGTCAACATATAAGCACAGGACGGGAGTCGAACGAAAGGCGCCAAAACTGAGGCGCCACCCAGTATGGTGCAGAGTATCAAGACGGGGAAGAGTAGAAGGAGAAGCAGAAGAGTAAGCAGGACAACCATAATCAAGTTTAGACAGGACGAGAGAGGAATGTCAAGAGAGGAGCGTGCGCCTGTGCAGGCAAGTGCAACAATGTTGTGCACCATCCAGGGGCGACACTTCCAGCACTTCACCTGGGCTTAATGCAGACGAGGAGTCACAATAACATGGCTGAAATATGTTGACCAAACCAGACACCAGAAAGTAAAGGGACGACGACGTTTCGGTCCGTCATGGACCATTCTCAAGTCGATTTTTGATCCAGGACGGACCGAAACGTCGTCGTCCCTTCACTTTCTAGTATGTGGTTTGGTCAACATGGGCTTAACATTGGGGGAATTTGTCGTTTAAGACTTCATAAAATGTCTTGAAAAATAAGATTACAAAATACAAACATTTGGTGTTGGACTTAAGCCTACCAGCCTCTGGAGAGTCATTAAGGCCACCACAATAGTTTGCTCTCCAGCCTGCAAGTTGGTGAGCAAATACCCCCCACCCCCACCCAGGCCACCTCCTCCCCCTCCCCTAGCATGCTGCCCACAACAGCTGCCTCTCTCCCGGGCACACATCACCTGCCAGCAGGTCTTCGCCTCGGCCTTCACGTCTAGCCGGGGAAGTTGAACCCGATTGATTGCTATACATGCACGGATATATGGACATGGATATGCGCGCATGGATATACTCGTCCACATGAAAGGAAGCTTAGAACACTTGCCTGAGCCCTCCTGGGAGACCTGCTTGGACCCGGGAGGAGTATAGCAACTCCGTCTCCTGTACTGTCTCCTGTGTGCGCACTGTACGCACCCTCTCTCTGCAAGGTGTGGCGTAGCACAGGAAGGGCAGCGTCTCCTGAACGCTACCAGCACTGTACGCACTTTACGCACCCTGTGTAGCTGTTTGTTGATCTAGATTTAGCTACTCAGAACAAAATATCCATGTAGCACGGGCTATGGTGAACCCGTGAAACGCACTTTACGCCTCCTCTCTCTCTCCAAGTTCCCACGCTGCACTACACACCAAGAAGTAAACAATGGTCCAGCCTTTACCTTTACAACAACTCCACAACTCCTTCGTCACAAGTGTTGCTAAATGTTATAATACAGACGAGACCACCACCAGGAAGAGGCTGTGGGGTGAGGACTGTGAGGTGAGGACTGTGAGGACTGTGAGGACTGTGAGGATCTACGAGGAGGAGCTAGGAGAGAGAGGAGCGTCAATTGCCACACTTCAATAGTGCTCCCCTGGCCACTATCTCAGCGGGATATCCGTTACTTACACTCTTGATATCACCTTACGTCACGCTGGGGGATGTGTGTGTGTGGGGGGCATGTGTGTGTGTGGGGGGATGTTTGTGGGGGGCATGTGTGTGTGTGGGGGTGTTTGTGGGGGGCATGTGGGGGGCGGGAGGGGGGAGGACTGGTGTATATGGCTGTGGGGGTGTGGGGGGGCACCCAACGTCTCAACTCCACATTCACTCATCTATGCTACTTACGGGCTATTCATGCCCGTGCCATTTCTGGGTGTCTTAATATTCATCAATCATCAGTGTGGGAGGGGGAGGGAGGGGGGTGTATGGATGTGGGGGGGGGAGAGTGAAGGGGGGGTGCACGAAGCTTTGGGTTGTCTGTGAAGCTTTGGGTTGTCTGTGAAGCTTTGGGTTGTCTGTGAAGCTTTGGGAAGCTTTGGGTTGTCTGTGAAGCTTTGGGAAGCTTTGGGTTGATTTGTACTGTCTCCTCAACTGTCTCCTGTAGGATAATGGTGGAGGATAATGGTGGAGGATAATGGTGGAGATGGTGGAGGAACCAACAGAAGCGACCCAGCCTTAAACTAAGACAGGCGGAGATCAATACCTGGCCCCAGAGAGCCAGTGGTGGAGGACGGGCCAGTGGTGGTGGACGGGACAGTGGTGGAGGACGGGCCAGTGGTGATGGACGGGCCAGTGGTGGAGGACGGGACAGTGGTGGAGGACGGGACAGTGGTGGAGGACGGGCCAGTGGTGGTGGACGGGACAGTGGTGGAGGACGGGCCAGTGGTGATGGACGGACCAGTGGTGGTGGTGGACGGGCCAGTGGTGGAGGACGGGCCAGTGGTGGTGGACGGGACAGTGGTGGAGGACGGGCCAGTGGTGGTGGACGGGACAGTGGTGGTGGACGGGACAGTGGTGGAGGACGGGCCAGTGGTGGTGGACGGGACAGTGGTGGTGGACGGGCCAGTGGTGGAGGACGGGCCAGTGGTGATGGACGGACCAGTGGTGGTGGTGGACGGGCCAGTGGTGGAGGACGGGCCAGTGGTGGTGGACGGGCCAGTGGTGATGGACGGGCCAGTGGTGGTGGACGGGACAGTGGTGGAGGACGGGCCAGTGGTGGTGGTGGACGGGCCAGTGGTGGTGGACGGGACAGTGGTGGAGGACGGGCCAGTGGTGGTGGTGGACGGGCCAGTGGTGGAGGACGGGCCAGTGGTGGTGGACGGGACAGTGGTGGAGGACGGGCCAGTGGTGATGGTGGACGGGCCAGTGGTGGTGGTGGACGGGCCAGTGGTGGAGGACGGGCCAGTGGTGGTGGACGGGACAGTGGTGGAGGACGGGACAGTGGTGATGGACGGACCAGTGGTGGTGGTGGACGGGCCAGTGGTGGAGGACGGGCCAGTGGTGGTGGACGGGACAGTGGTGGAGGACGGGCCAGTGGTGATGGACGGACCAGTGGTGGTGGTGGACGGGCCAGTGGTGGAGGACGGGCCAGTGGTGGTGGACGGGACAGTGGTGGAGGACGGGCCAGTGGTGGTGGACGGGACAGTGGTGGAGGACGGGACAGTGGTGGAGGACGGGACAGTGGTGGAGGACGGGCCAGTGGTGGAGGACGGGCCAGTGGTGGAGGACGGGACAGTGGTGGAGGACGGGACAGTGGTGGAGGACGGGCCAGTGGTGGAGGACGGGACAGTGGTGGAGGACGGGACAGTGGTGGAGGACGGGCCAGTGGTGGTGGACGGGACAGTGGTGGAGGACGGGCCAGTGGTGATGGACGGACCAGTGGTGGTGGTGGACGGGCCAGTGGTGGAGGACGGGCCAGTGGTGGTGGACGGGACAGTGGTGGAGGACGGGCCAGTGGTGGTGGACGGGACAGTGGTGGAGGACGGGCCAGTGGTGGAGGACGGGACAGTGGTGGAGGACGGGCCAGTGGTGGAGGACGGGCCAGTGGTGGAGGACGGGACAGTGGTGGAGGACGGGACAGTGGTGGAGGACGGGCCAGTGGTGGTGGACGGGACAGTGGTGGAGGACGGGCCAGTGGCGATGGACGGACCAGTGGTGGTGGTGGACGGGCCAGTGGTGGAGGACGGGCCAGTGGTGGTGGACGGGACAGTGGTGGAGGACGGACCAGTGGTGATGGTGGACGGGACAGTGGTGGTGGACGGGGCAGTGGTGGAGGACGGGCCAGTGGTGGTGGACGGGACAGTGGTGGTGGACGGGCCAGTGGTGGAGGACGGGCCAGTGGTGATGGACGGACCAGTGGTGGTGGTGGACGGGCCAGTGGTGGAGGACGGGCCAGTGGTGGTGGACGGGCCAGTGGTGATGGACGGGCCAGTGGTGGTGGACGGGACAGTGGTGGAGGACGGGCCAGTGGTGGTGGTGGACGGGCCAGTGGTGGTGGACGGGACAGTGGTGGAGGACGGGCCAGTGGTGGTGGTGGACGGGCCAGTGGTGGAGGACGGGGCAGTGGTGGTGGACGGGACAGTGGTGGAGGACGGGCCAGTGGTGATGGTGGACGGGCCAGTGGTGGTGGTGGACGGGCCAGTGGTGGAGGACGGGCCAGTGGTGGTGGACGGGACAGTGGTGGAGGACGGGACAGTGGTGATGGACGGACCAGTGGTGGTGGTGGACGGGCCAGTGGTGGAGGACGGGCCAGTGGTGGTGGACGGGACAGTGGTGGAGGACGGGCCAGTGGTGATGGTGGACGGGCCAGTGGTGGTGGTGGACGGGCCAGTGGTGGTGGACGGGACAGTGGTGGAGGACGGGCCAGTGGTCGTGGACGGGCCAGTGGTGATGGTGGACGGGCCAGTGGTGGTGGTGGACGGGCCAGTGGTGGTGGACGGGACAGTGGTGGAGGACGGGCCAGTGGTGATGGACGGGCCAGTGGTGATGGTGGACGGGCCAGTGGTGGTGGTGGACGGGCCAGTGGTGGTGGACGGGACAGTGGTGGAGGACGGGCCAGTGGTGATGGACGGGCCAGTGGTGGTGGACGGGACAGTGGTGGAGGACGGGCCAGTGGTGGTGGACGGGCCAGTGGTGGAGGACGGGCCAGTGGTGGTGGACGGGACAGTTGTGGAGGACGGGCCAGTGGTGGTGGACGGGACAGTGGTGGAGGACGGGCCAGTGGTGGTGGACGGGACAGTGGTGGAGGACGGGCCAGTGGTGGTGGACGGGCCAGTGGTGGTGGACGGGACAGTGGTGGTGGACGGGCCAGTGGTGGTGGACGGGCCAGTGGTGGAGGACGGGCCAGTGGTGGTGGACGGGACAGTGGTGGTGGACGGGCCAGTGGTGGTGGACGGGACAGTGGTGGAGGACGGGCCAGTGGTGGTGGACGGGACAGTGGTGGTGGACGGGCCAGTGGTGGAGGACGGGCCAGTGGTGGTGGACGGGCCAGTGGTGGTGGACGGGCCAGTGGTGGTGGACGGGCCAGTGGTGGAGGACGGGCCAGTGGTGGTGGACGGGACAGTGGTGGTGGACGGGCCAGTGGTGGTGGACGGGACAGTGGTGGAGGACGGGCCAGTGGTGGTGGACGGGACAGTGGTGGTGGATGGGCCAGTGGTGGTGGACGGGACAGTGGTGGAGGACGGGACAGTGGTGGTGGACGGGACAGTGGTGGTGGACGGGCCAGTGGTGGTGGACGGGCCAGTGGTGGTGGACGGGTGAGGGACACTCCTCACCTTTACAACATTTACAACTGGTCCCCAAAAGCTTGTTATTTCCCTGCCCGTTCATGCTATTGATGAATTAATAACCCTTTACACATGACTTACAATTTTCTATGGTAAATTTTCTATGACTTACAATTTGAATGGTAAACTCTTTTATTCACTTCCTTTCGGAGCTCTCCCTCTCTAAATCCTTCCCCAGCGGTCTTGGGGTCACATTGTCCTCGGTCATCGCCGAGGAAGCAACTTGTCCTCTACTCAAGTCCATTCCATCCAGCGGTCGACCCCACAGACGCATTCATAAATGTGTACATGCTGTTCATTCAAAGCGGGAATTTTCTCAAATATTAATTAATATGATAATGTATTAGCATATTGTGCATATTTGGGCATAGTTTGGGTTAGGTGTTTAGGTTCTGTTGGCGATTATTTGTAGTACGTGGGTGAAGCATTTACAGCGTTCGAACACAAGTCGTCAGTGAAGCATTTGTTCTGGAAGTGTTCGGACGTCATCAGTTGTGAGTCGTGTGTAAATCGTTTTTTATACAACAATATTAATTTACATTTAAGCAAATTCCTAATTTTGAATGAACATGAGCATGTTAAAATTGATGAATTCGTCTTTGGGGTCGACCGCTGGATGGAATGAACGCTTGAGGACGGGTTGGACTGAAGTGTTTTTCATTCATAAACAGCGGGTTTGGCGGGCGGATTAACGAGCAATTGGCCTTTGTTTACGAGGACGGGCTGGTGTAAACATTGACCAGATGTTTGCCCAACCGCCCCGCTCTTCCTCTCTCTCAAGGAACACCACTTTACACGTGCTCCAACACTATGTTAAATGTCTTACGATCATAAGCACATGTCTTACGACCACAAGCACATGTCTTACGACCACAAGCACGTCTTACGACCACAGGCACATGTCTTACGACCACACGCTGAGTGGACAGCGCGCGGGACTCGTTATCCTGTGGCTCGGGTTCGATTCCCGTCGCCGGCAGAGACAAATGGGCAGCGTTTCTTTCACCCTGATGTCCCCTGTTACCTAGCAGGAAATAGGTGGTTTACAGCAATGACTCTGGTCCTATTTCCCTATCAAATCCAGTTTTAAAATTATGAATAGAGTTTGCTTCCACAACCTGCTCCTTAAGTGCATTCCATTTTTCCACTACTCTCACGCTAACAGAAAACTTCCTAACATCTCTGTGACTCATCTGAGTTTCCAGCTTCCACCCATGTCCCCTCGTTCTGTTAATATTCCGTGTGAACATTTCGTCTATTTCCATTTTGTCAATTCCTCTGAGTATTTTATACAT